GTGTGGAGTGAGAGGACAAGTGCCCAAAAATAATAACAATTGTAAACCGCTTTGTGACTCTGGTCTGTGAAAGGCGGTATATAAATAAACATTACTTACTTACATGGAAAAATATAACAAAGTTAAAAGTACAGGCCTTCTGTGTGTGTTACATGTTTGTGTGTTATATGTTTTGTGTATGTTATATGTTTGTGTGTCATGTCAAAGTACACTACGCTGACCTTAACAAACTCTGGACCAATACTAACGTGGGGAACCGGCCTGTGATGTGACTGTGATGTGACTGTGATGTGACTGTGATGTGACTGTGATGTGAGTGTGGAGTGAAATGAGGAATGCTGAACGGAATCATGGAATAACAAATGTGTCTGTAATGTTTTAATGTGATCATGGAATAATTCTTTTTTGTCAACAGCATACGGTGTAAGTACTAGAGATTCAAAGATAACGACCTTTATTGAACAGGTGTAAAAGTGAGAGTACTCTGGGATGAGTACTCTGAGAAAAGTACTCTGCGGAAAGTACTCGGAGATGAAATACCTCGCTGAAGATATTGGGAGTTCCTCCCTCTGATGTTTGCCCTGACAGTGAGTCGGTCCAACCGCAGTGAGCGGTCATTGGGCGGAGGACAACTTTGGTCTGTAAACTCACATTTAGGGGAGTATAAAATTAGAAACATACATTTTGTTGTTCTGTATTTGGCTACAGCCTCCGCCCTGATGCCACACACCGTCTGTCAATGCAGTTATGTTTTGCCCAATTGGGAAAAAGATTGACAAGCGAAAGTGGGCATTTTTTGTGTTTTTTTTGTGTTCTGATATTTCTTTTTCAGATGAGAGATAAACTACCCCTGCTCCAGGGATGACAGTAGTATGGATCAGGAGGAAATGAGCCTCCACTTTGGCACAAAAGCCCACAATATGAATTGAGGACGATCCGGGAGAAAAGCAACTGGAGATGAACGGAACAGTCGGTACTTTTGCAGCCTCACTGAGGGCCACTGAGACCCACTGCTTACTTCTCAGCAAAACTCGATCCCGTGGCAGCAGGGTTGCCTCGCTGCCTGCGGGCTGTGGCTGCCGCTGAGAAAGCGGCCCTAGCATCACGTGACCTTGTGGGATACACTGAACTAACTTTGCTTGTGCCCCATGCTGTTTCCCTGATCCTGTTAGAGCAGAGGGCCTCTCGCCTTTCTGCGGCTCGTTGGCTGGGGTACAACACGGTGCTCTTTGAACTACGGTGAAGGGATGCACACAGCTGAACCCCTCCTCACTGCTGCCCACGCCAGAGGAAGGGGAGGCACACTGCTGTATCGCCACAATAGAGCAGAGATGCACTCCCAGGCCAGACCTGAAAGAGGTGCCTCTGACTAATCCTGACTTGATTTTTTTTATACAGACGGAGCCGCGTCACGTGACAACACTGGGAAGAACCGAGTCGGCTATGCTGTGTGTTCTGATTTTGATACTATAGACTCTGGTAGTTTGCCCCACTACCACTCAGCACAAACCGCTGAGCTGGTCGCGCCCACCGGGGCTTGTGAGCTGGCAGCGGGCAAAACTGTTAACCTATTCTGTGATACGCGCTATGGTTTCTCTGTGGTGCACGACTGGGAAGCACTGTGGAAACACCGCAATTTTATGAAATCTGATGGTAAACCAATTCTTAATTCCACACAGGTTGAACGTCTGCTGAAAGCTGTAATGTTGCCCTTAGAGATCGATGTACGCAAATGCCAGGCCCACACTAATGCCACTGATCCCATCTCTGCATGGAATCGGCGCGCGGACAAGGCAGCGGCATACGCACCTCTACACACACACACACACACTACCTCACTCAAGACGTTGATATTTTCTACTCCAGCAGAGACGCTGCTGTGGGAGGGGAATGGGGCTCAACGACGGCATGGTGTGTGTGGCTGGGACCAGACAGCAAACCGTGCCTACCACGGCATTTCTTCAGACAGTTTGCAATTTTAGCACATGGTCGAGACCATGCCTCAAAAGGAGGGATGATGTGTGATTTAATCACACAAAATTGGTATACAAAGGGGTTTACGGCATTTGCACAGAGATTCAGCCAAACATGCGCTATATGCCCCGCGCACAACCCAGGTAAGTCCCAAAAGTATCCAACAGGCTGCTCATCCTCCGCCCCTGCGCCCATTTCAACATGTCCAAAGGGACTTTGTTGAACTCACACCATGCCAAGGTAAGTAATACTGTCTGGGTCTTGGCGGATCTCTGGTCCAAATGGACTGAAGTATTTGCAGGCATACACGCCACGAGCAACGCGGTGGTGAGTCACTTTGTAGCAAAAGTCATTGAGGAAGTGGGTGAATTTCTGGGCATTGATATACGTAAACACTGCAGTTACGCCCCCTGGTCCGGAGGCACGTGCGAGCGAGAGAATGGCACTCAAAGCTCTGCCGCTAGCCCCACGTTGGGCGCGGGACCCCCGAACAGAGATCTGCCAAGCACCTCTTTGTGTGATGACGACATGCTGTCCTATTGTAAGGAAATTAATGCACTTTTGTCCTCTATTTCTGCCCAGGTCAGGAGCGCCCTGCCACAGGCTGCGCAGGCGACTGGGTCCTGGTGAAGGAAACGAGACGAAAGCACTGGCGGTCCAAGCGCTGACCCGGCCCATTCCTCGCCCTCCTGGTGACGGACACTGCCGTTAAGGTCGCGGAGAGGACAACTTGGATCCACGCCAACCACTGTCGTGCGGTGCTGCCACTGAGGGCCATAGACGAGGACACCGAGGGCGCGGACGGACCAGGCCCATCCGCGGCTCCCCACGCTGAAGAAGTCGGCCGGCGTGCGGCCACCGTCGGTGAAGCAGGCCAACAACAACACCCAGAGAATCCCAGCGCTCCCGAGGCGACCCCCCTTGCCCAACTCCCCAGCCCCCGGATCCCAAGGCTTGGGAGCCATGAAGGCCCTGAGCGCTCTGCCCAGCTGCAGCAAGTATGCAGAGCTGCTGCCCATTCCAAAGATTTCTCCAGAGCTTGCTCCCTCTGGCCATAATGCAGATTTGAGCTCTGCTGGAGTGCCCCCTGGTGTCTCGTCTCCCGTGTGTCCGGAGGAGGTGGAGATGAGGGCTGCTCTACAGTTCCTGATGAGGCACATGGTGAAGCGTGCTGTCATGAGGTCTCCCACCAAACGAGCTTTGGGCCTGGCCGATCTGGAGCGTGCTCAAGCCATGGTCTTCACACCCCAAACCCCGAGCACTCTGCCCAACCGAGTGCTGAGGCCAAGGCTTCAACGCAATTAGAGTCTTACCGCTCCAAGACCAAACATCGCCATGACCACTAACGCTCCACACACGCTCATAGGGAGCGGTGCCACTGACTGCGAGACGGCACTGCTCGTGAGTATTCCCGCGGAAAAGACTACCGAACGTAGCCCGGCTAAGACCGGAATGGGCCCTTGGACTGTTATGCTGGCCACACTGACACTACTTTCCGTGCTGACCGTGTTTATTATGTTAATATTGTCTTCTCTTATCGCTGTCCGGATCCATTGTGTTATTATAATGTGCTCTTTCTTTTATTGACAAGCATGCTTCTTTTCTTGTCCACTTTGGACAGCAATAATTTAAGTGCTTCAAGCTTGAAGGTGGTGTGATTACGATGCCTCTGGTATTTAACTGATTAATGCAAAAATGGTTTTGAATTATCAAAAGAGGGGAGTGTGGTGACAGTTTTTGGAGTAATTACATAAAACCAGCCGCAGCAAATACACGGACGTCAAAGGCCTTTTATCAATGCAGAGACGCCCTTCTGACGCCATGCTGAGCTTTGTGAGGGCCCCCTGCTGTCTGTCACACCCTTGTGTCTTTCGTATCTTGAATCTGTATGCCTGCTTATATCCATATGTCCCTGCTGCCAGGAAGGAGCCGGGCCCCCCCGACACCTACAGACAATGGCTATCACTCTTGCCCCCTTTCACCTCTTGCATATGTATCGGTCTGTATGTGTGCACTCTCTACATCCTGCACCGGTGGCCCCCCTCCCATCTGTTGTGGGCGGGACTGGCTTTCGTGTGTGTCTTGTATACAGGAAGCTCGGGGCTCTGGCCCCCAGAGCTGGGACATGCTGCCTTGGAGTGGATGTGCTGGCTCTCCGCACGTGCGTGAACAATAAACTTACGCTTTTGACCAGACAAAGGACCTTTGAGTTTCCTCCTTCATTGGGTAGAAACTTCCTTAACAGCTGCGCACCACACACTGTACGACCAAAGTGGTTAGACCCGTGATTTTTAATCTCCCTGTGTGGGGTCTCACACAGAGAAAAATCGTCCGACAATTTTAAAATCGTCTCGTGTGAACCAGGCTTTAGTCCAGTTTTATTTTCGACTCTTTTTCTTTTTGGCTTTGGGATCCATGCGCACACGGTGGTTTGTTTACAGCAGCGGCCGCCTGGCGCGGGGCCGCGTTACCGGATATGATGCACTAAGTTGACAGAAATGTTAAATTGAATATTACTTATGCACATTTTTACAGCATTTAAAAACGTTAAAAATGTTTTTCCTCCTACAGAAACCACACTCAAACTAGAAATAAAATATAGCACTCCCACTCCATTTTCAGACATTTTTGAAAAGGCTCCAGGAGCCACTCGAGGAGCACTAAAGAGCCGCATGCTCCTCATGAGTGTGTTGTGAGCGGTTCCCGCGTCCAGCTCAGAGCCGCTGGATGCGGGAACCGCTCATTTCAAAGCGGCCGCAGCTGCCCTGGAACACTGTGGCCGCTGAGGTAGCGGAATCCCGTTCGAGTACATTCAGCAGGTGCCCGTGGACATGCGTGCCCCCCTTGAACAATTCTCAACGGATTTACAATTTTCACAAACATGTTTTTTGTATGAGGCAGACAGACCGGCTCAAATATGGGCATCGGCCCTTCGGGCATTGCCCGGTACGCCCGATGGCCAGTCCAGCCCTGTGTACCAGTAATCCTGAATGTGCCGTGTACTCTCTGGTGTGTTGGTCATTTACCAGCCACGCCGTCTTCCCGAACCTCCCCGTCCTCCATCAGATGCACTATGGGAAGCACCGCAGCACAGATGCATGCTGGGAAGACTGCCTGGGGCGGCTGCAGCGTATGGTGGGTCGGGGTGTGCTCTGTAGTGTTCTCCTCGTCTGGACAACACAAGAAAGTCACCGTTAAAAGGGCTGTATTTGGGAGTGGTCAGCAAATATGAGGCAATCAGTGGTAATGTAATGTTAAACTTGAACTTAAGAACATTTCATTTGGCAGTCCATGTAATTTATGAAGAATTGGTGCGTTAGTGCCAAAAGTTCCAGTGGATTGAGCTAAAAACAACTTGAGGTCTGCTTTTGAATGGACACAATGTTGTAACATGGTTAAACATAATATCATAAACATTGCGTAAGATGAAGAGAAGGAAGGATAAAGAATGAAGTAATAATCAGATGCTTTATGTCTCCCTCCTGGACTGCCACTCCCCCCTGGACTGCCACCTTAACGTGGTGGGGGAGTTTGAGTACTCGGGTGATCCTGGGAGCTATGCTGTCTGGGGCTTCATGCCCCTGGTAGGGTCTCCCATGGCAGACAGGTCTCAGGTGACGAGTCAGACGAAGCGCAGTCCACAACCCGTCATGGATCGCACAAAAAAAGAACAAGTGACGTCGCCCGGCATGGCGCAGCCGGGGCCCCACCCTGGAGCCAGGCCTGGGGTCGGGGCCCGAAAGCGGGCGCCTGGTGGCGCCCGCTTTCGGTGGCGCCCACGTCGTCCGAAAGGACGACGTGGGCAGTCCCTCCTGTGGGCCCACCACCCTCAGAGGGGTCCGTGGCGGCTCGGTGCAGAGAGGACTGGGCAGCAGTCGAAGGCGGAGACCTCGGCGACCCAGTCCGCACACCCAACATCTAGCTCTTGGGACGTGGAACGTCACCTCACTGGGGGGGAAGGAGCCCGAGCTTGTGGGGGAGGTTGAGAGGTACCGACTAGAGATAGTCGGCCTCACCTCCACACACAGCTTGGGCTCTGGAACCCAACTCCTTGAGAGGGGTTGGACGCTCCACTTTTCTGGTGTATCTCGCGGGGAGAGGCGGCGAGCTGGGGTGGCCATACTCATTGCCCCCCATCTCAGCCGCCACGTGTTGGAGTTCTCCCCGGTGAATGAGAGGGTCGCGTCCCTCCGCCTTCTCTACAAGAAGGGGGACCGGAGGGTGTGTTCCAATTATCGTGGGATCACACTCCTCAGCCTCCCTGGTAAGGTTTACTCCAAGGTACTGGAGAGGAGGTTACGGCCGATGGTCAAATCTTGGATTCAGGAGGAGCAGTGTGGTTTTCGTCCCGGCCGTGGAACACTGGACCAGCTCTACACTCTCCATCGGATACTCGAGGGTTCATGGGAGTTCGCCCAATCTGTCCACATGTGCTTTGTGGATTTGGAGAAGGCGTTCGACCGTGTTCCCCGGGGTGTCCTTTGGGGGGTCCTCCGTGAGTACGGGGTCCGGGGTCCTCTGCTGAGGGCCGTCCGGTCCCTGTATGACCGGAGCCAGAGCTGTGTTCGCATTGCCGGCAGTAAGTCAGACCTGTTCCCGGTGAATGTTGGCCTCCGACAGGGCTGCCCTTTGTCACCGGTTCTGTTCACTGTATTCATGGACAGAATTTCTAGGCGCAGCCAAGGGTCGGAGGGGGTCCGGTTCGGGGACCACAGGATTTCATCTCTGCTGTTTGCAGACGATGTTGTCCTGTTGGCTCCAACGAACCAGGACCTACAACATGCACTGGGACGGTTTGCAGCCGAGTGTGAAGCGGCTGGGATGAGAATCAGCACCTCCAAATCTGAGGCCATGGTGCTCGACCGGAAAAAGGTGCCCTGCCCTCTTCAGGTGGGTGGAGAGGCCCTTCCTCAAGTGGAGGAGTTCAAGTATCTCGGGGTCTTGTTCACGAGTGAGGGAAGGATGGAGCATGAGATTGACAGGCGGATCGGTGCAGCGTGCGCAGTGATGCGGTCGCTGTATCGGACCGTTGTGGTGAAGAGGGAGCTGAGCCGAAAGGCAAAGCTCTCAATTTACCGGTCAATCTTCGTTCCCTCCCTCACCTATGGTCATGAGCTTTGGGTAATGACCGAAAGAACAAGATCGCGGATACAAGCGGTCGAAATGAGCTTCCTCCGCAGAGTGGCTGGGCGCTCCCTTAGAGATAGGGTGAGGAGCTCAGTCACACGGGAGGAGCTCGGAGTAGAGCCGCTGCTACTCCACGTCGAGAGGAACCAGTTGAGGTGGCTCGGGCATCTGTTCCGGATGCCTCCTGGACGCCTCCCTGGGGAGGTGTTCCGGGCACGTCCCACCGGGAGGAGGCCCCGGGGAAGACCCAGGACACGCTGGAGGGACTATGGCTGTGTCCAAAACGGTAGGCATCGGGCCGCGTAGGGTGGATACGTAGGCATCGAGGGAAGGCCGCGTAGCCACAGGCGAGGTAGGAGGCGAGACGTGAGGTGGATTTGGACAGCAGCTGCCTTCTGCCTTCGTCACGTGACTACACAACTCAGAGCGGAGCGGAAGGACACGGCGGCCATGATGGACGGTAAAAAGTTCTAAATACGCTTTAATTAGGACATAAAAGTTAATTCTAATATCATTTGAGGCGAGAAATATCCCACTCTATTGTCATATCAGGGGTCTGTTTGGAGATAAATTCGAAAATGTTCGGACTTTACCTCCAGCCTGAAGCTCCGGTGCTATAAGCTAACAGCCCAGTTAGCTGCAGTGCTGAAGCCCAGAACAGGCTGTCTAAACACGGGTTCAGGTAATGAGAGCCCCCTGGATGTTTACAATCGTATTCTGAAAAAACCGAGGATGCTTTTGTTGTTACACTTTCTCTGTTATAACAATTGTATTGGCAGTAATCATTAGTTTTTACAAAGTTATATTTTATGTAAACAATGCACATATATGCAATAAATGATTATTAGATATGGATTATATATTTGCTATGGCCCTCGTTTGTGCATCACTTAAAAGTAATTTTATCAGACCTAAATGTATTAACGTGTGTTTGCTGATGAGAGAGAAACATCCATTTATCTATAATAATAACTGGAACATCCATTTATCTATAATAATAACTGGAACATCCATTTATCTATAATAATAACTGACACATCCATGGATCTATAATAACTGACACATCCATGGATCTATAATAATAACTGACACATGCATTTATCTATAATAATAACTGACACATCCATGGATCTATAATAATAACTGACACATCCATTTATCTATAATAATAACTGACACATCCATGGATCTATAATAATAACTGACACATCCATGGATCTATAATAATAACTGACACATGCATTTATCTATAATAATAACTGACACATCCATGGATCTATAATAATAACTGACACATCCATTTATCTATAATAATAACTGACACATCCATGGATCTATAATAATAACTGACACATCCATGGATCTATAATAATAACTGACACATCCATGGATCTATAATAATAACTGACACATCCATGGATCTATAATAATAACTGACACATGGAAACATTAACAGACATCTGTAAAATGAAGTTGAACACAGATGTTTGACACTGCTCTTATTCACTTTTATGTCTCTTGAAAAGCTAACAGACCGTTACTAATCACATTTGAGTTTAATGTATTCAAGTATAAGTATAAGTATAAGTACTGCTGACAAATATGTAGTTGTGTAAATAATACCTCACTTTGATGACTCTTTACATTTCACACAAACAACAAAATCATAATAAAACCAACAAGTTTGATTTTAGTTTTCTTTATTTCCAGGTTCCTCTGAAGTGCTGTCGATGAGACCTGTGTCAGAGGCAGACGCCCAGGACTCTGCTGCTGCTCCTGCTGCTGCTGCTGCTCCTGCTGCTGCTGCTGCTGCTGCTGCTGCTCCTGCTGCTGCTGCTGCTGCTGCTGCTGCTCCTGCTGCTGCTGCTCCTGCTGCTGCTGCTGCTGCTGCTGCTGCTGCTGCTGCTGCTGTTGCTCCTGCTGCTGCTGCTCCTTCTGCTGTTGCTCCTGCTGCTGCTGCTCCTGCTGCTGCTCCTTCTGCTGTTGCGCCTTCTGCTGCTGCTGCTGCTGCTGCTGTTACTGCTGCTGCTGCTCCTGCTGCTGTTACTCCTCCTGTTGCTCCTTCTGCTGCTGCTGTTACTCCTCCTGTTGCTCCCTCTGCTGCTGCTGTTACTCCTCCTGTTGCTCCTTCTGCTGCAGCTGTTACTCCTCCTGCTGCTCCTTCTGCTGCAGCTGTTACTCCTCCTGTTGCTCCTTCTGCTGCAGCTGTTACACCTCCTGTTGCTCCTTCTGCTGCAGCTGTTACTCCTCCTGTTGCTCCTTCTGCTGCAGCTGTTACTCCTCCTGTTGCTCCCTCTGCTGCAGCTGTTACTCCTCCTGTTGCTCCTTCTGCTGCTGCTGTTACTCCTCCTGTTGCTCCTTCTGCTGCAGCTGTTACTCCTCCTGTTGCTCCTTCTGCTGCTGCTGTTACTCCTGTTGCTCCTTCTGCTGCAGCTGTTACTCCTCCTGTTGCTCCTTCTGCTGCAGCTGTTACTCCTCCTGTTGCTCCCTCTGCTGCAGCTGTTACTCCTCCTGTTGCTCCTTCTGCTGCAGCTGTTACTCCTCCTGTTACTCCTCCTGTTGCTCCTTCTGCTGCTGCTCCTTCTGCTACATGTCTTGATGCAGAGCCCACTGTTCTAACTATTCATGATTGCTGATTAAAGGAAAATATTATATACAAGTTTGTTGTAGTTCATAATGTGGTGAGGAGGTGATGGAGGTGAAGCAGGAGGTGATGGAGGTGATGGAGGTGAAGCAGGAGGTGATGGAGGTGAAGCAGGAGGTGATGGAGGTGAAGCTGGAGAAATTATGACCTTAATTTCACCACAAGTCTCTGAAAAAGAAGAACACAAACATCATGCATTAAAACACAGCCCACATTTAGGATTCTTTTTACACTTCATATTCAATTAATACTATTTATTTGGGGCTTTGCAAAAAACTGGTTAAAAATAAAATACAGAAATCCTTACAGTATTTAATATTAGAGATACAAGTTTCACAGCAGGGGAAACAGAAGAATGATATGATAGAAATATACACAAATAATCAAGTTAGAAGCATGGCTAACCACTTTAAACCTGTGTTTGTGGAAGTCTGCAAATGTCTTATTCATGACAAACGAAACCTCTGTATAATGTGTGTTTACTATTTATTAGACTATTGTATGAAAAGGGCTTTATAATTATTCTTGGCCTATTCTATAATTCCATATGTCTAATATATACAGTTTTCCCAGTCTCAGTATGGGATTAAAAACTATATGCACAATCTATTTTATATGAATACAGAAAACATGTGTTAGCATGTTAGCATACTATAGCTGCTGTGCTGCAGAGTGATTTTCCATGAAAACGTGACTTTCCTCAGTGTAGCTTTAATATTTAATCAGTGGGTTTGTTTCTCCCTAAAAGATAAAACACAACATGATTTTTCTTGTTCAAAAACCGAATCTGAATGAACTAGCCTCGTAGCATTAGCTTTTCAGGACTGAGCTTATTTACAGCAGATAACAAGGTTAAATACACACATCTGTGGCAGATCTAACTTATGTCTGTGTTTTATCATAACAGTCGTGTTCATAACTCAACAGTAAAGTATAGCAGTACTTACTATAGACATAACTTCACAGTAAAGTATAGCAGTGCTTACCATAATGTTAGCTCCAGCAGCTCCGAGCTGTTGTTTACATGTTAATGCCAAACGGAGTTCTGCGCATGCGCGGCCGTGACTCGGCAAAAAGAAGGCAGCGAAGCATACATCAGATGCATCCTTCATATCTGCTCCAAAAGTGGCCGTTTCCATAGAGACGAAGTCATGATGCCTACGCTTGGCGAGCTCGCCAAGTGGTTTTGGACACCCCTGCAATAGCCGTCGCTTGCGGAAGTGACGTCACGATGCCTACATATCCACCCTACGCGGCCCGATGCCTAGCGTTTTGGACACAGCCTTTGTCTCTCAGCTGGCCTGGGAACGCCTTGGAGTCCCCCCGGACGAGCTGGAGGAGGTGTGTGTGGATAGGGAAGTCTGGGCGTCTCTGCTTAGACAGCTGCCCCCGCGACCCGGCAACGGATGAAGCGGAAGAAAATGGATGGATGGATGGATGGATGCTTTATGTCTGTACAGTTTTCACGGTTATAAAGTTAAACGTTCCACACATAGTTAGCGATGGTTAGCTGCGTACCCTCAGCGCTGGCCAGGGAGCGCACGGACCACACCGAGCCCCGTCTGAAGGAGTAGTTGCGGTGGGAGTTACTGGAGGCACACGATGGACTGACGGAGAGCCGGCGAGACGCCAGGTTCACCACTTCTTCTGCTGGCAGCGCAATAACACCATCAGAGATCCACATAATACACACATTTTACAGACAAACAGACGGAATCATAGTGCATCTTTCGGATGCGCATTTCAAATCAGACACATCAGACACAGACTCACAGATCTGTGTCTGAAGAAAGATGGATGGATCACAATGGAAAATGATGCTCCATGAACTACACAAAACACTGTACATTATTTCTGTATTTTTTTCAGCTTTAAAATGAGATAAAACACGCCATGGTATGTTGACCAGATTGATAGGAAGTCAAAGTAGACTGTAGCAAACGAGGTGTGGCCATTTCTTCATAATATGAGCACTAAGCAGTTATTGAGTGACATCTACAACATGAGAAACACAAAAAAAGAACATTTTACAGCAGATGTGTACTTTGATCATGAATTGCCCAGAAATCCAAGGAAGATCATGGCTCAATGGTTGGTGTAAACGTTTTGTTTGATATATCTAAATATCAGATTTTTCCTGTCATTCAAATTCAATTGGGCCCTGAGAGGGTTAATACGACTTAGAACAGGGTCTCAAACCGGCTCCAGAAAGGGCCAAGGGCTGCAGGTTTTACTTCCAACAGTTCCAAACGGAGCAGGAGCACAGATGACCTCAGGTGAGTCCAGTTTTAACCTGAAGATTTGAGGAAATGGGTGGAGTCATCTGTGTTCCTGCTCAGTTTGGAACTGTTGGAAGTAAACCTGCAGCCACTTGGCCCTTTCTGGAACCAGTTTGAGACCCCTGACTTAGAAGGACCCCTCGTTTGCCCTGATGATTCAAGATTCAATACTTTGTCACTGTCAAAATAAAAAGAATAAAAGATAACATTCAGAAAGCACTGGAATACAGGCACATCCCCAGTTGTCGTCTATGCTACAGTGATGTATTGTTTAAACAGCTCGAACGCCCACCTTCCTCCTCCTGCTCGGGCGGGGGGCTGCAGGTGGGCTCGTAGCAGGCCTCCTGGGACACTGGGATGGCTGTGATGATGCTCGCCTCTCTGCCCAGGCGCCTCTTCTCCTCCTCCTGCTGCAGGTTCTTCAGGATGTGCTCGGCGCGCTGGTGAGAGCGCGACACGGCGCGGGCCGAAAACGATTTCTGCACCCGCAACGGCAAAACAGCAAAGGCATCGAGTGATATATAACCATTTTGTGCAGTGCCACTTTTGTCCAGGAGTGGCGCCCCGGTGGGAAAGGTTTCAAAGGAAGTGTGCCTGGAGAATGTTTTGAAATGAACACCTTTCGACTGGGTCAGCACTAGATCATATACGATTCCGTTTATAATCTAGTGTCGACCCTTTCGACTGTCATCAAAAGTCATTTTATACTTGAAGACAGAGTCCAGTCTTGTGTGCTCCGATTGAAAAGAACACCAATAAGCACGACTGCAAGGAGGTTTCAGAATAAAATGATGATAATTGTTATGCTGATCTTAATCATATTTATTTAACAATTTCATGTTGTAAAATTTTGCCCAATTTTTTGCCCAAAGCCCCCACTGAAAGATCAAGGCTATGCTCTCACTCAGAGAGCAGCCGTCCTCCTGTGGACTCACCACCTGCAGAGGGTCAGTGAGGGGCTGGTGCTATGAGACTTGGGTGGCAGCTCTGATTGCCACCCCCCTGACCCAGAAATGGATTAAAGGGAAGAAAATGGATGGATGGATGTTGTAAAATTAAACTACATTTCCGATCTAGTAACCAGGCAGTATCTCTTCTAAAATATTTCCTCATATTGTTCCACCTTCTTTATTGTGAAGTTGAACTTGAAAGTTTACACATGAAGCCTTTTATAAAATGTGGTAAATATGTGGTAAATATGTGTAGTTTGATGGGCTGCGCATACAAACAAGTTTTTGATGCATGCTAACTGTAACAGCTAGCATTAGCAAGATTGTAATGAGTCTCACTAAAAAGGAGAGTTTCTGTTGTCACTATCATTTCAAAATAGAAAAGATGTTTCTTTGACAACAAATAAGAAAAAATAATCTCACATTTATGCCTTGGTGTGAAAACGTTCACACACAATTGTAGCAAACAGTTAAATTCAACATTATTAGAGGCAAATTTAGGCCGTCACTAAATTTAGAAGGAGGAAGAACCTTTTTGGGTTCCCTAAATGGATGGCACTTCCAAAACTAATAGAGGTAATACTTTGTTTTAAAAAATTGACAGATACATGACGTCATTGCGAAAAAAGCTGGACAATTGAGCATTTAGGCAAAAAGGCAGTAGATGGAGATTAAACATCTGTTTTTGATATGGAAGCAATGGTGTAACATGGTTAAAAACTCAAATAAAATGATTTTGCAGATTGTGTCCTTAAAATCTACTGGAGCTACTCTAACATTTTCTAAAGAAATGGAATATTGCAAAATAATAATAAACAAAAACCCAATGGAGATGCAATGTGGGCGGGGCTTCCAGGTTCTGAAAGTAAGATTCCTCATTCAAATTCCACAGAAAACTTGGACGATCCAAATATCAAACGTTCTAAGACATGTTGGATGCTAATTAGCGACGTGGTAATTACTATTACTTTTAAAAGTTTCAAAAACATGCACATAAATGTAGATCTTATGTCATTACACCTCAGATCAGGACTGAGTTTTCTATCTTTTAAAAATCTTCTATCTTTTTTGAACAGAGAACTTTACTTCTGGGACCTGGAAGCCCCGCCTATTTCGCAGCTCCATTCTGGAGGCCATTAATAGATTTTGTTGTTGGCAGAGCAAAACCCTATGCTTGTTTTGGGATTTTTGATTTATTCAGAAAATTCACCTTAAACAAAACAACTTCAAATAAATGTTTTTTTAAACTCTCAACTTGTATCTGTATCCGAAATAATTTCCATCCTTTGGGTCGTAACACCTGTAGGTCTGGTTCACTTTAACTGGGTCTAGTCTGGTTCACTTGGGGCAAAAAATACTTATATGTGGCCACTAGAAAGGAGACCATTTTTGACAATTGAACACTATTTACTTGTTTTATAATGTGAAATAAAATATACAGAGAGATGAAACAAGTATCAAGGGTAACAATTCTATCGGACCTGCAATTCCCTCTGCTACGGTCAGAGTTTTTTTTTTATCTGATAATTAATGGCTCTAGACACAGACATGCGATTGTAAAGAACATAATTTCCCTTGAGACAATGACAAAACTAATAAAGGACAATACTTTTGTTTTAAAAGGCATAAACTGGTCATAAAGGGTCTAATGACATCATTCTGTCACAGGACTGAGACCAGAGCTTTAAGACAGAGGGGGATGGATCTGAAAAAAGTGTAACGCAGTAATAACTTTATGTCCTTGTTTCATTCAAAAAATAAAATGAAGCAATTTTCCCCAAGAGAACTCTACTTAGTCCAGTTAAAGTGAACCAGATCAACAAGTGGGAAGTGTGTGTCCTCAATCTCCAAAACACTGCTGAGATGACTCTCTTTGAAACCTCCCCGACTGGTACATATACAAATGCATTTTCAGTCTTTTTCAATAGTTTTTCAACAATCGGACGTAACCCGAGGAGCGCTTGAGTGAAGTGTAAGATGGCCGTAACCGGGACGACACACTAATACAGTAACTCTCCTTCAGCTCTTGCAAAATAATACAAAAACAATTGTGCAAGAATGTGAATATATATTGACTGAAAAGTAGAAGTGGCGTTGGGAGAATTGGCTGTACAGTGAATGCCCCACAGCATTTGACAGTTTTTCACACATACAAGTGGGAACATCAAAAAACGGCAAAGTCATTCTCATCCAATGACCATGCAGCGACAACACCACACACACAATGTCCAATGCCCGATGCATGCTGTTATTTTGGTATACGACTGAATATATGGGTAAAAAAAAACTATAGAGCAAGATGCAGCAATTCCAGTGTGGCAATTTTGTATATGTATATGTATTTTTTTAGTTCAGGGGTCCAACGGAGGTCCTGCCATTGACAATCAGAAGTAACAAGATGCATCAGCAGCACAAACATCGGGGACAGAGATACAACTTACTATGGCATGGACTGATTTAAATGTGGGGTACTAAAAACAAAAAACATAGGACGGTAGGTAAATTAAATTTCAGAGTCATGCTTACAACAGCAGATGGTGAGGAAAAAACAGCCTAGGAAGTCAAAATACTAGCATCTTGGCTGGAAGAAGGATTCAGCACGTGGACCAAAAGTGTTTGCATTTTCAACTAAATTGGACAGTTTAAATTTGTGTTTACATGCACAAAGAAATCAGACTGTCTTCATAGTCCTGGCAAACGTCTTTATTTTAGGCCCAAAAAGGAATAGAATGTATAGTGTTTTTTTTTCACCACGAATTACTTAAACAAGGAGCATCAAAGCACAAGTACTAAGAAATTCTGGTTGGTCAAATAGGTTTGTTTTTATCTATTTAAAGTGATAGTCTGTAACTCTAAATTAATTACAAATTTTAGAAAATGTGTTAAATTGACCTCCTGGCCTTAAATGTTGATATAAAATAAGTCATTTTATTAATTATAATATTACTGGCAAGTCCCGCCTTCCCTTCTCTTAGCTATAGTTCAGAATCCACGATGCTGTCCACGTTAACCAATCGAGTCATGCCAAGGGCTGTCAATCATTGGCGCTGATGCTCGCAGCTGCGCGCATGCTCAGTTGTTTGTTTTCGCGGAGCCTTCGAATCAAGCCTCTATTAGGCTCTGAAACTACATGAAAACTGAAAAAAGAATTCTGAACAACTGCGCTGAGGTACTTATGTATATACTGAACCTATATCCATAATCATTTATATACTGAACCTATATCCATAATCATTTATATACTGAACCTATATCCATAATCATTTATATACTGGACCTATATCCATAATCATTTATATACTGAACCTATATCCATAATCATTTATATACTGAACCTATATCCATAATCATGTATATACTGAACCTATATCCATAATCAGATCCTCTGCAGACGTGTCCTTTAATGTGCAATTCATGATAATAGCTTCTTCCGGGTTTTTTGTGTGCATGTGTATTAATAATGTATATGTATAATGTGTTCTCAGATTAACATTTCAAAGTGTTACGGAAACGTAGGTGTAGACCAATCAGAAAGGAAGGGGGAGGAGCTTGCGTCGTTTTTTTCCAATCAAGTACCTCTCTCTCTCTTTCTGACAAACTCCAGACAATCACTTTAATGTGTGTCAAAACTTTTTTTGTTTTTTGTTTTTTTTGTTTTTTTACTTTACTCCAATGACACACTGAAACTATTCATGAAAAGATTTTATTTGTATATTTATGGTTTCTTTGAAAACTCATTTGAACAGGCAAAATGAGGAAAATTAATCTAAATGAGTATATATTATTATATTTTTTATTATACACGGTCTTTGGATCAGGTAAGCATATAGGAGGAATTTTGGGGCTTTTATAATTAGTGGGGATCTTATTTGCACATTCAAATACACTTATGATACACTTCAAATACACTGATACAATACATGGATGATAAGTGTCATGCTGATGGGAGTAAAGGGGTGTATTCTTTGACACACATCTTGCATTGATGGAAATTAAACCTATTCACCCAATTGTTGTGGGAACTTTTAGTATTGTTCTTATTAGTTATGGCAAAACTCTATTTGCCTGGAATATAAACCAAAACAAATCGACTACAAAATTAGAAGTAATTGTATAGTTTTGTCAAATTTTTTGTAGCTTGTCATACACAGCGCTTTAACGGTGTGTAATCATGGATCTATAGTAATAACTGGATAGGGTATTACTAGCTTACAGCTGTTCAACCCATGGGCACAGGGGGCGCCCGTGGTACTGCAGACTAAATTCACGCGGGCTACCCAGAAATGTTCCCCATAGATCTCAATGTAAACTAAACACCTACAGCTTTCATAAAGATCGGATTTTGTGGGGATTTTAGTGTCCCTTGTCATCCTGAACTTTTTTTCTTTTATAATCCTTTGGTTTGACTTTAAATCTACACTTTACTGCAACAAACTCTGCTGTTTTCCTTCTTGCTCTGGCTCCGCTCTACCGCTGCTCTGATCAGCAGCTCTGATTGGTCAGAGCGCGGCCGAGCCCCTCTGCGCACGTGCATGAGAGCCACACACGCGTATTTGGTGCAACACATCATGGGAGCTCGTTCACTCCAAATATAGGTGAGTTCCGCTAGTATGCCAGCGCCTGTGATGTCCCATGTGCCACTGAGCACAAGCCATTTAATAGAATAGGGCGCCATCTTGGATCACGAGGGCTCGTGTGTAATAAATTGAGTACCATAATCTATGTAGTCAATGTATTTTTTTCAGCTAATAGGTTGCGTTCATCTTATAGAATTTAACTTCAGTGTTTCTGGAAGGTGCCAATTCAACTCTATAGAAAACAAAAAACAATTGGAAACAAATTTGAACAGGAAAATGTCCAAATGTTTTTACTGATCTTTCATTGACAGTGATTAGATTCACATTTTCACCATATTATTCTTATGTCTGAAAGTTTCTACAAATTCTATAGTGTTATGCAAATAATGTTTATCAGCTGTCATAACACCAGTCAAGCAGCATCAGTCATACTATGGCGACACCTACAGGAAAATATTATGTTTGAAAATCTTTCAATCCGGATTAAGAACTCATGATAGCACTGAAACAATACTGAGTCTGCCCTCAAACGACCTCACTGATCAGATAATCACCCCCACAATGTTAGCATGGCCCCTAGCAACACAGTAAGGAATCTTGCAGTTGTTACTGACCAACAACTCTCCTTCAAGGCCCATATAAATCAAGCAACTAAAATGGCATATTTCAACCGCCCCTTACTTTAAAAACAGGAACATCAGAAAAATCAGCAGAAAGAGGTATCTGTGCATTTGTCACCTCAAGACTTGACAACTGTAACACCCTCTGGCACCAAATGGAGAGAACACAACTGTCATGTCATGTCATCATCTGCCCCTTTATTAGTCCATTTCTGGGTAGGCGGGGTGGCAATCAGAGCTGCTACCCAAGTCTCAAAGCACCAGTCCCTCGCTGATCCTCCTGCTGGTGGTGGGTCCATGGGACGATGGCTTCTCCGTCATTGAAGACATTGGCCTTGATCATTCAGCGGGGGCTTCAAGCAATGTGGGGTTAAGTGTCTTGCCCAGGGACACAACGACAGCAGACAAGCAATCCATAGCAATCCAAGAGTCAGTTGTGCAGAAGCTTTAATTACGTCCATGCGCTTTATCAAAACCATTGGAGCTGCGACTCAAGTTGCCGGCGCCTCTGTCCCTGGATAGTTTATGAGCAAACTATTGCTTATAATATTGCAGTTGGGTGTGAAGGTTTGGAGGTCTTGGATCAAGATTTCCAGTTTTTTTTTTAACATACAATAAATCTTGTATGTCCCAAACAAAAGTCTCGTCAAAGTATAATGTTTGTAACAAATCAAACCACAGCTCGATTTCTTAATCTTATAAGAAAACACGTCATCTTTTGAGCTGAGCTGAAAGAGTGTGGTCCTTTGCTGAGGTCTAAACTGCTTTAATGTGAACATCTGTTGAGTTGCTGAGCATATGGGTGGATCCATCATGTTTTGGGGTTGGGGTCATTTTAAGAGGTCAAAAGATAAACCTAATTCTAGAAGCAATCTTGATGCCACTTGTGAGATTACGAAAGTTATCTGGTGGATTGTTTCACCAGATGGTTAATGATCCTAAACACACCTCCAGGGTAGACTACATCATGAGGCACAGGATAAAGTTGTGCAATAATCCTCACTGTCGACAGGACCTAAACATCATAAACTCAAAAGAGGAAAGTCTTTTGTAAAGAAGAATGGTCCAAATAAAAGTTGAATTTAGAAAAATAGAATTTAAAAACTAATGTCTGCAATCAAAAAGGTTTAACAGGTTGTAAGTATGTTAGTTTAATATTTTTTCAGTCAAAAGTCAAGAACAGCTTCAGTCAGTTTCATAACCACAGAGTTCCTTGTGCAAGAGAGATAGAAAGATTTATTTTTAAACTAGAAAAAAGTGACATAGTGTTCCTTTAATGAGAGAAACAACCCACATAATTTCTTCAATAACAAATGCAAATATCTTTGGTCGTGTGGCAATACATTATTTCAGTATAATGCCAAACAAATGTGCGAAGACATAAAAGAGCCTGCACTCGATTATGTTCCATGTTCCATTCGAGCAACGTTATTCAGGTCTATCCCGGTGCAGATATCTTGATTAAAATTCATGAATTACAATAAATACAATGCTAATGTTGCTAACACAGCGATATCAATGTGGAATGTATAGGAAGGCATGGAATAAGTCTGGATTGGAGCAAATGTGAAACAAATTAATGGTGTTTAGACAGTACAAATCAGGCACAGGCTCTTTTATTATAACCAATAATCCTTTGAGCTAAACATCAAAGAACAACTCAACAATAGAACCCATCATACTACATGTAAAGTTGTAATAGAAATGTAGAAGTTGCGTACATGACTTACAGACTGATCTTCGTTGATGGGGTCCTGCACACTGCCCGTGGTCTGAGGCACCCATGGGGGGTCAAAGATGGGCACACAGGGCATGCCCAGGATGGGGGAGGGCAGCGTGAAGTTGATGCTGGGCGGAGGGATCTTGAACAACATGTAAGAGCATTGTTAGACCACACAAACGCAGAGGCGCAACTGAGGCTGGCCCTAAACTGAGGATTTTTACTGGTTTGAAAGTCAGGCATCCAAAAACAGTTCATCTGCTTGATGGTATTATTCTATGACTACTATTCTATGGCCAGTGCCCCCCTGTCCCATGCCATTTCCCTTTGGTGCTCTATGTTGGTTGACAGTACCTTGAATATCTGCTGCGCGCCCTCCTCCATGCGGGGCCACACCTGGTATCTGAACCTCCACAGGGTGTAAAACTTGAGGATAGAGTTGATGCGCTGACAGGCCTCCTGGTGCTGGAACTCTGCCATCATCATCTCTGACACGGCGTCTGGGACCTTCACCGCACACAGCAGGAACATGGCCGCTGGGGTGGACGCAACATGCCCACGTGAGCAGAGTGAACACGTAAACAGAACAAACCTTTGTCTATCTGCTAAAAAGTCATCACCTCTTACACTTTTGGCTTTCATGGTGTGGAGTTTTTGTTATTGGTTTTATTTTGACATTACTTCTGTTTATAATCCCAAAAATACGGTATTATGTTTACTAAGAATGCTGAAGAACCATCCTCGGTTCGGGACTCCTAGCTCCCTGCTGAGAGGCTAGAGTTGTGCAATGCTTGAAAGGGTTCTCAAATTTTTTCCTTAGACCTCAAACTTTGGAACAGTTAATAAATATAATTCTCATATGTGCAGGGCTCGACATTAACGGTTGTCCGCTTACCCGGAGCAACTAAAGATTTGGGACGGACAAGTGCGTTGTTTTAGAAAGTCACTTGCTTCCGTTTGCTGTACGTACTTGAACGGGATTTACTGTACGTCCTCTGTTCTGACCCCAGGAGAAACTGTGGCCGCTTAGTAACGACAACCGCTTTGACAACATCAGCTCAGCGAACGCACAGCCTTAACATAGAACCGAGCACGGACCATGGACTCGCGGACATACTCATTAAGCTCGCTGCCCCAGACTCACCAGCAGCTGCGGCCATGTGCTCATCCACGCTCAGCAGCAGCTCCCAGGCGGCGGGCTGGATGTCTCCGTACATGTCCTCAGTCAGGATGGGCGCGGCCTTAATAAGCAGGGACAGAGGCGCCGGCGACAGGCTCATCACTTGGGTCCGGATGTACTTGAGCATGCCTGTGTCCTTCTTCCCCTCCGTAGTCGGGTCGTTGGGCCGCCGCTTCATTGAGGGCGTCCGCAAACACGACTTATCTGAACACTAGGGTTGGCAAAATAATTGAAAATCCCATGTTAATCTGCACTGTGCACAAAACAAATTTGGATCAAAACTAGACCTACTATTACTCAATTGATAAAGTATCATAGTGTGGACTAGAGCCCTGCACTTGAGCCCTTGGCCCGATGGGCCCGACAGCCCGAGGACCGGGCTTCGGGTCGATGACGTTAATCCTCCATGCAACTTTTCTCTTCACACTGCGTTTGTATAACTTTGTGTAGCGGGTGCCGCTTCAGGACGCGGTCTTGTTTACATGTCGCTTCCACACATTGTTTTTGTCTTTTGGTGTAACTTTGAAATAAACAATGACTTTGCAATACTATACTATACTATAAATAAGTGTGTTAGCTGTGGTTCTGCGTGTCACCTCTTTGGTCTTCTTGACGCGGACCCCGATGTTTGCTGTGGAGGCGCTATCCTCCCTCATGCCGTCCACACACTCCCCGTACACCAGCTTTATGGCACGCACCAGACGAGCACACGAGCGGCTGTGGTGCTGGTAGCAGCGCGGGTGGCAGAAGTCGATGTGGGTACATATAAAACTTTGCTGGTTACACAGCAGGATCATGATCTGAGGAGGTACAGACGGGATGAGGCAGACAGTGAGAGCATTTTGACCAGTCCTGCTCCACCCAGTGGCTGCTCCGCATCTGCTGTTGTGGCCCACCCTGCTCCACCCGGGGGCTACTCCATCTCTGCTGCTGTGACCTGAAGGGCTGTTGCAGATTATTACTATTGTTAGCTTTTTAGAATGATCAATTTTTTTATTTATTTTTTGTCTAGCTAGAGATGCCGAAATGGATGTTAGCAAACTTCTGAATGGAAAGTTTAGTTTCAGAAAGTTGCCAGATGGATCAACTGACAAGACCAAAGTTATCTGTAGCACATCCACTTTGAAATACACCTGATGCTAAACACACGCTGATGCCAACTCCCGTCCTCTGAAGTGTTCTTGTCAAAACCAGATGCTTCCCATGGATCTATTATAATAAGTGGCTTTCGTCAGAGACATATGGATAAAGCAACTAAAAACAAACGTATTGCAGCTACATTTTGTATCAAGTGTGAAATATAACATTTGCACACTGTAAGCAAATCCATTTTCCAAGTTGATAAGATTAAAATGTGTACAGAATGGATAAAAATGTGCAATTAATTTGTGATTAATTGCAAGTTAACTGTGCGATTATTCGTGACTAAAAAGATTTTATCGACGGCATAAATATATATATATATATTTATATATATATTTTAAAAGGGGTGTCACGATTCAATTTGATTCTCATTTTTTTTTTTCTTACAGCTCACTATTGCGTTCTGTAGCGTAACTCAAGTATGCTAATTGAATGTTTAAATTCAGCGATTTCCACTACCGAAGGCTGCAGATCTGCGGGGAGAACATGTAAACTACACTCAGAAACCAGGATTTGAACCTAGAACTAGGGCTGCAACAACAAATCGATAATATAGATAAAAATCGTATGCATGGGACTATGAATTGTTGGTGTCGCGGCATGTGTTTAGAGATTGATCGTATATGTCAAACAATGTAGTGAGCTACTCACTGTAGATTCTAAATCATTTTCTCCTCTGTTTTTATTTATTATAGGAAATTGAAAGATCAGAGCCTGATTTATTTCAAGTATCGAGAGCAGTTCCTGAACTGTTAGAGCCTCAGGTGAGGGCTATTATGTAGATTTGGATTAGGTTTAAGTCAGTATAGAATGAACGCAACACAAAACTCAGAAGCTCTGATCCAATTGATTTTGTTTTAACTATTAGAAAAAATCCTTAACTGCTTCTCATTCAGTCTACAGCTGAGTTTAGTATAGAAGGCAACACACTATTGCGAATATAGAGTGTGATTACACCACAAATTCTGGGGGAGAAACTCTGGACCCCGTGTCAATGGGTGTAGACTCAGGTCGTAGTGAATGTCCCCACCAAGATTGGAACCAAACCTACACCATTGTGTGTCGCGCAATTAATACGTCACCGAGCGCGCGAGTTGGCCGCATTCTTGTAGTTCAATGGTTGAGCGGACGGACACACATGCACCACAGAACTACACAACACTGCATGCACACTGCCGTAAAACTCCACAGAAGAAGAGTAGAGTGTGGCGAAGGTGGTCATACAGTCTATGGTGGAGGCAATTATTCGAGCAAGACCGCGTTGAACCAGTGCAGAATAGCAAAGCGAAGGAAGCATCTAAAGTTGTACCGCACTAACTTTAGACACTTTGCACAGTCAGTGGGAACAGTGTTTCTCAGGGTCAGGGCTATCATTGGGAGGTTCGGAGACGGGTCAGATTTGCGGAGAACAAGCCTGGAAGTCACGTCGGGGCGCCGCGCCGCGACTCCAGTCTCAGCTAAAGTCCCCGGTAAAATCTCCGCAAATAATGCCTCCCACAGATGTATTATCGTGCCTCCCGCCATCACCGGGACAGTAACATGTTGGAGAAGGCTAGCCTTTGTCTGGTGTTAGACAAGAGAGAGGGCAGGGGAGAGGAGAGAGAGAGCGGGGGAGACGAGAGAGAGCGCGGGGAGATGAGAGAGAGAACGGGGACGAGAGAGAGCGGGGGAGACGAGAGAGAGCAGGGAAGACAAGAGAGAGAGAGCAGGGGAGACATATTTTATGAAAATTCTAAAATCCACAATTTCCAACGCCATATGACGTCATAATATGCTAATTAGATGGGTACACTTATTCCCTACATAAACTTTTGGCCATCCTTAATAATTCTGTAATTTACAGAAAGTCTTTATCTCCTATCACTTTTAAGTTACAGCCTTTTGAAATAAAAATGTCAAAAGTTTTTGAGTATATGCACTCAACAACGTACAATTACCCTAAAAATGACTTAATTACACAAACGCGTCTTGTCTGTAATTGCTCTTTGGGTTAAACAACAAAACCTGTTTTTGTGCACTTTACTTCATACTGCATAGCATACATTTGTATGTTTCTTTGTGTTGATCCAAGGCCACGTTTTTAATAACGGGATGGAGACTAAAAATACTTTTTTTTTAACCGATTAATCGATTAATCAAAGAAATAATCGGCAGATTAATCAATTATTAAAATAATCGTTAGTTGCAGCTCTACCTAGAACCTTCTTGTTGAAAAGTGAGATTGCTATCCACTCAGCCATCGTGTCGCCCTTAGTCCAGGTAAACCATGACCGTTTCGGGTACGCGCACAGACGCAATAAGCATTACAGTGATTGTCGATCCTCTCTTTGATTTCTATGCTTGAGACGATGACGTAATTTTGAACGAGGAGTAGATAGTGACATTTTGAGGGTGGCTTTAGATTTGGCAAGTCACTATTTGAGAAGAAACAGGAGTTTGGATGTTTATATGGGTCTGACAGCTGTGGGACTTACATGCAGCCAGGACATGTTCCGGTGGTAGTTGTCCTCCACTCCTCCAGAACCTTGTCCCTCTGGTTCAATGCTGGGTTCACTGGTGCTGAAAGGACTTCCTATAAAACAACAACAAATACTATGGTTTTATCTGTTTGAACAATGCTCCAGATGTTTGATTAGATGTGCAGTGGCTTGATCAAAGAGAAATCAACTACCCTATCCTTTATTTAATTTTCACTTTATTAGGTACACTAAAGAGAATGAAGCAGGACGAGTTAACAAGCTGTTTGCAACACAACCTCAGAAAGGGGAGGAGACCCATCAAGGCTGGAAACTGAACAGTTCTGGAAGAGCACATGGGAGAAGAAGGCAGCAAATAACAGCAGTGCAGCTGGTGTCTCAGAGAGAGGAGCACACCCACCTCCCAGAACAGAACTCAGTTACCATCCCAAATACAGACATCCAAGATCCATTACACAAAAAAGTAATATATACACTGAATTTCCCCAACGAAGAATCTTGAGCTCGTGAGTTGGCCCTCCTGTACCTATGTCAGTGACTGTGTCCCGGCTCTGGGTCTGGGACAGCAGTCCCTCCTCGTTCTCAGACTCTGAGTCCTGCCGGGGCATCTTGGTGCTCTTCAGACTGCCAGCTCTGCGAATGGACGACAGTGACCCGCCTTTCTTCACACGGAAACTACGTGCGCCTTTGATCTGCAGCAGGCGAGACCCTCCAATACGGATTTTACGCACAGGCGCTGGAACACAAGTATGTTTGCAATATGACATCTAGTAATGAAGTAGAAATGATCTGACTGGCAGGGGGCAATGTTTGATGTTAAAGTGGATGACTCAAAAGCCTATGCGTACTTTCCATTACCTTTTGCAAAGCATTTTTACAAAGTAGCCTACAGTTTGCTATGTTTACGACCATCATTTCTTTGTCAGGGACAGCAAAGAACATAAAGCCGTAGCTACAATGGAAAAGTTTAGAATAAAACACTTGCATGCCCAGTCAAACCTAAATCCGTGGAAACTGCTCTTCACAAATGCTTCCCATTTTATCTGACAGAGCTTCCTATATTTGCAAAGCTTGAAGACTGCAATTGCGCCAAAAAGTGGTCCCCAAAGTAATTGCTGAATATTCAATTTGCAAGTCTCCACTTTTCAGGAAAAAGGATTTCTGTGATCCTAGACATGACAAAATCCGAGCATTTAAGTCGTGTTGTCAAATTTAGATGGTTGGTGACCTTGGTTGGAGTCCTTGAAGGGTCTCACCCTGCACTTCCTGGACTTTCTTGTCCTCACAGGTGGTATCGGACTTGAGCGTGTGGCTGCTGCTGTTCAGAGAGTCGTGTCCATCCTCATCATCCAGAATCCCTGCAAAGCTGATCTTCCTCTCGTAACGATGGCGTCCAGAGTCCGGGTCCAGGCGCAGACGGCAACTGTCCAAATCCTTCAAAACAAACACATTCCCATTCAACCCTTTCCCAAGTTTTGTGTTTGATGATTTGAAAGAACAGACCACTAGGGGTTCTGTGCGTGGACGTGGTAGACACGGAAAAGTCTCTCTCAGAAAGGTTGTGATTTCTAAGAGCAGCTGACAGGCGGCCATTTTGAGTGCGAAGGGGCAGCCACATTTTGTCGGGTTCACCGTGTCTATGAAAGAGAAAACAAATGTGTTTTCAGATGATATAACACCCTTTTTTAAAATTAATTTAGAACTTTCCTGTCAGGAACCAAACAAACACATTTTAAATCGCAGCCGGGGGTGCGAGTTGAGCCATTAAGGCTTAAGCTATAAAAAATGCTTAAGCATACTCTAGGGCATTTTAGGCTGGTACGATTTATAATCCGAAAAATACGGTAAATGAAAACACACAATCTGTACAACTCAAACAAAACATAACTGATTGGTTGGTACTCTCTCTAGCCACTTTGAATCAATACCAATACAAAATGAAAGCCTCGAGAAAGCTTTGATGTTATTCAGCTGCACTACAGCAGAAAGACCCACAACAACATGTTACATAACATAATATACATGCATAATAATAGACAGATTAACGGCCACCATCCCCCAAAAAACAAGCAAATAAGGTCCCAGTAAATTCATTATCACACAAAGTGCAGGTCGGATCTGATTTATGTGGTCTTAAGTAAGTCTTATAAAAAATATTTCAAATTAAACTGTTGGAGAACCAACAACAGTGACTCAATGATAGAACCAGGCAAAGTAACAGGTAGATTTGGAATGTCTCCATCTCAGCTCTAAAAGCAATGGTACATACACATTGCTGCCCTTCAGTCTGTGTGGACCATCTACAAACTTCAGAAGACTAGTGAAAAGTACTCACTGTCATCTAAATAGTCCTCCTCTTCATCCTCCTTCCTCATCCTCCTCTTGGTCTCCTCGTCATAAATGTATCCCAGGATATTGGCAGGACTCTCGCTGTCCGAATGACACAGCTCGCTCAGCCTCGTCCCAATCGCCTAGAGGCACAAATATCAGGCTGAGGAATTCTTCTGAAATGCAATAATGTGGTGTGTGTGACTTACATCTCCCCAATGGCAGAAGTGCTTGGCAGCATTCCACTGCAGCTTCTGGTTCCTCTTGTTGCCTACAATGGGCGAGCGGCCTCTGGACAGTCCCTTTTTGGTAATGTTCACGTGGTGGCCTTTCATCCACTCGGGCCAGTTGCCACGATTACAGCGGTGAACAAATCTGGCACATTCGAGGAAGAGTGAAGCCCGGGCCACGATTGGAGCCTCCTATAATTTATAATTGCAACATGTAAATTATAATGTCCCAGGATCTCTGGAAGATTATTGCTTGAATACCTGTGAACAGTAATTCATGTGTTTGTCAAAGGACAAAGGACAGTTCTGTTGTATTGGTTGATTTTCTAATCTGCTTGATTCTAAATTGCATGATTCTAATCTGCACCCAAGCGCGCCAATCTTATATCCATAACTGCATTGCATTGCCTGAAATAGAACCAGATACCTCAGTTACTATTACAAACTGATAGTAACTATTTTCTCTGGCTGAGAGAAACTTCTATTTTCTCTCAGACAGATTTCTAAGCTCTTTTACACTGAATGTGACCAATGGCAGAATAGTCAGCCAGCTTTTCCACAACACGATAACAACTGATCCCTGTGAGACTGACGTACCAAGTCTAGGGCTGCCGCAAGGATGGAGGCATCTGGGATGGTCCCAGGTTCACAGCAGTTCAGCAGAAACTGAAAGCGCTTCATGCCTTGGCGGATGGCTCCCAGGTTCACCACATTCTTGTTCTTCATCGCCTCCTGACTGGCTGCTAACCTCTCCTGAAAGCCATGAGGTCCTGGAGACAAGAGGCCAGAGCACACACAGGACAGGGGACAAGGGAGAGTCAGGGTTCAGTTCGTCCAGATGCAGAAGAGGTGGCAAAAGTACCAGTCTGAAGTACTCCGGTTAACGTAGATGTAATCGATTAAACATGTTGTTCATATGTACTTGAGTTTTTTTTACTTCGCTACTGAGATCTCCGCTTACAGACACTCTGTGTTGTGCACAAAGTAAATATCCGACCTGAGCAATGATATGATGCAATTCACAGATTTGCTTACACAACTAATCAGCATGATTGACAGCCTCCTGTGCCACCAGCAATATCATCGATGTGTGAATGCAAGTCAGAGCCCGAAAGCTCTCTGCCTGCGCTGCAGAAATTCATACTGTCTGTGAGCGAGGAAAAACCACCAGCCCAACACACAGGTCTGAAGCCTGGCGCTGAACCAGAACCAAGCTAGCACTAAACCCAAGCGCACACTGCACAACGTGGACAAACGTGGACCAACGTGGACGTACGGGTCTGGGTCTGTGGCACTACACCTGTCACTGGCACGACACCTGTGCGTGGGGCAACCCGCACACGCACACACACACAAATGTGCACACCCACGGACGAGTACACACAGAGACGTGCAAATTCACAGAGATTGACTTGAGCCTGAGGAATGATGAACAGGATGCTCCTGCTTACGTCACTCTCTTTGCTCTTTGACCTCATAACTTTGTTGTAATGTTGTTAGTGCTTTTCTCTAATGTTCAGAAGTCACAGTTGCCCCAGACCAGTTCAGCAGAGGCCCACAGAAAGTACAGTTGTCATTGTAGCAGTGTGACTATATGAAATTAATCAAGCCTTTGTGTTTTGTTTTATGCCATTTGACTGAAATTGTATCCACCACCACGGCTTTCCTCTGCCCTTTGTCTACCACCAAGATGTCTTAGAACACTTATTCCCCACCACCTTTGGAGGAGTTTCCCATTTGACTTTGGGGTTTCCAGCCCATACTCAGCACAGAAAAATAGTAACTGTAACTCTATTTTAAATTTAAATTTATTCTTTAGAAGTGTTTTTTATTCTTATTTTTATTATCTCTTTTTGACTGTTGCACTGAGCCAAAGCAATTTCCAAGTCTGTGACCTCCCGTTACTTACGTTGGCAATAAAAATGATTCTGATTCTGATTCTGATTCTGAGATGTTTCTGTACACTTTGCCAGCCACTTGGTTATGGCGTTCCATGTAGGCCTTCCCTGCAGTATCTTGCACCCTGCAGTTATGTGTTGGATCGTCTCAGGTCCTCCTTTGCACAACCGACACCTTGGGTCTTCTCTGGTGCGGTATATCTGGGCCTCTATCGCTTTGGTGCTCAGGGCCTGCTCCTGTGCAGCCATGATGAGTGCCTCTGTGCTGTCCTGTAGGCCAGCCCTTTCTAGCCATTGGTAGGACTTCTTGAGATCAGCCACTGCTGTTATGCTCCGGTGGTACATCCTGTGTAGGGGCTTGTCCTCCCATGATGGGCTCTCCTCAAGCACCTCCTCATCTCGCCACTGTCTGAGACGTTCACTGAGCATGTTGTACATTTGGGCCATAATGAGTTTCCTCCTCAGAGTGGCTGGGTGTGCCATAAGAGAAGAGGTGAGGAGCTACACAGGTGGATCTTGTAGTATGGTCACAGCTTCTTGGATGCTTCCTGTTCCCCTCGATGAGGAGTCCACTTTTGCATTTCCCATCTGGGGGAGGCCTGGGAATACCCAGGACACATTGTAGGGACTATGTCTCAGATTCAGCTGTCCTGGGAATGCCTCTGGATTCCTGGAGGCAGTGTGTGTGAATAGGGAAGTCTGGGCCTCTCTAATTTGATTGCTGCTCCCTTGACCCGGCAACGGATAAAGCAGATGAAAATGGATAGATGTAATATCTCATCTTGTTGGTAGTCTCTCCAGATCAAACTAATTATACAAGTTTAAGTCCTAAAAAATAAATATAAACAAATCAAGTAAAAGTAAGTAAATGATTGAGTACAGCACTCGTCCCTTGCCACCTCTGAGTCTAAGACATGTTGAGCTGGACACAGCACAGAGCCACTGACAGATGAAGCAAACATGGTCACAGGGCTACACTCACGGTTTGGCTTTAAAAGAGTCATGTAAACTGTACTGGGTCAGTTTATTACACATGAAATGCCAAAAATAAATAGTAAACTGACAAAATCACACCGAAAATAGATTTAATTAAATTCTATAAAAAATACTTTACACACCCAGTACTATACATGCCCCAGGAGATATTTGTAAAACCGAGGAGTGTAACCGCGGCAACACACGAGAATACATACAATACCACCACCGACACGCTTCACAGCAGAAAGATGGTCTAGAGATGGACTAGAGATGGACTAGGATCGTGCACATGTCTACATGAAAAATACAAATTTATAGGTTTTCAGCTCATCAGCATGCGTGTGTGTGTCCGTGGGAACGCCATCTTTGTAGTCTGACAAAGATGACCAGACCAAACTTGTCATTCTGACTATGGAATTGCACTGAAATCCTAAGTCGACTTCACACAAGTCAAAACAGTCTCGTGTCATCACTGCATAATTTGTGCTTCTTTCCGCATCCAGCAGAGGGAGATGAAAGCACTTATTTTTTCAGTGTTTCTGTGGGACGGACCACTCTTGGCGGCTAATGGGCTCTTGCATGAGTGAAACTATTAGATTGAAGGGGAAACATATGCCAGTAGCAGCATGTTATTTAATGGTTAGTGTATGAGAGAGGAGAGAATACTCAAAGAATACAAAATAAACTGCTTCCTCTAATTAGTTCTCCCAGTATGCTCCTTGTGAATGAAAAACTGCTGACATGGTGCGTTTTCGACCCATGTCTTGCATCACGTATACTGTCACTTGGGACAAAAGTGGAAAAGAATGACGTGTTATTTAAATTATCTGAACGCTTTTGAATGCTCTGATTTTTGTGTGTGTGTGTACATTCAAATCGACTGAACAACACAGGACTTAGTATTTGTTTTGCATACCATTTTTGTTCATTTTAATATTTTAGAAATGTATGTAGTATATATGTAGTAATATAGTCTACTTTTGACTTGTTTGCACCGAGAGCTGAAGCTATTTCCTAGTTTGTGACCTCCTGTTACTTACATGGCAATAAAAATGATGGGGACAAACTAACAAAAAGGCATCAGCTGAAGCTTTGAACAATTCTACAGGCGTGCATGTGCTGAAAAGGGGCGGACAGAGAGCAGAGAGAGAGACAGGGACGAGCACACTGAGGGGCAGGTGGGCGTATAGGCAGTACACGGAGCAGCAGGCGGGCGTATGGGCAGTACACGGAGCAGCAGGCGGGCGTATGGGCAGTACACGGAGGGGCGGGTGTGCGTATGGGTGGCAGTGGGGAGGAAGGGGCAGGTCTACCATCTTTCTCCTCTGTGTGGTGAAGCTTGGATGGATTCCTCCTGCCAGAGCGCCATTTACCCAGGCGCTTGAAGAAGTTCTCCTCCTCGTCGCGGCCGTAGTCTGGGCCTGCAGCGCAGGCCTCGGTCAGCTTTACCGCGCTGGTGAACTTCACCTATGGCAAAGCACACTTCAATACACAGGACAGTTCACACTGTTTATCCTTCTCTTCCACCCCATACATCCACCTATCCATCCATCCATTTTCTTCCCCTTAATCCATTTCTGGGTCAGGGGGTGGCCAGAGATGCCACCCAGCACCATTCCCTCAATGATCCTCTTGCAGGTGGTGAGTCCACAGGACTTCATTTCAGACCCATGTGGCTTAAAATCTGGAACAATTATCCTGATGGAGTGAGACATACTGCTTGCCATATGACACATCATCATCAGGCAGAGAATCATCAGGTGTTATTCATTTTATTTACAGTGTGATCTAATTTATTGACTGTTGGTTTTAAATGTCAATGTGATGCACTGGGTTGCATTAGTGATAATGCTGTTTCAACTACAGTTGAACCTGATGAAATCTCACACAACAAAGAGACAAAGTTAATCTTTTACTTGTTACATTGTCACAAGGAGAATGTCTCGACAGAGGCAAGGCACAGACCCTAGCCTCTCTCAGGACAAGTCTGAAGATTCACAGTCTGCAAGCCCCTTTTGGTAGAGCAAGACACACCTTCGTATGTAGATGGGAAAGGAAGAAACCAACACAACAAAAGACACTTAGCATATGAGCTCCCCAGACCTCCCGGTGTCTTCTTGAAGCTAAAGTGAATTACAATACAGAGCATTCAGCACATAGCCACATATGATTTACCAAAATGATAACTTAAGTTACATTCCAATATCAATTCTGTATGAAAAGTATCAATCAATCAGTGCCTTTCATACACAGGCAACACAAAGCGCTTCACAGTCCACGTCCCCCAAGCCACATCAAATCCATCACATGTATGAATACATTCTGATGGATTGATAAAGACATAGAGTCAAAGGCCGTAAGCGCTACTCCATGCAGTAGCAGGAATCAGCCCAACTCATTGGCGTTACTTTCACCATTTTATATTTCAATCAGCAATTCAACCATCTATTGCTAAATCTTTCTTCAGAAAAATACATTTTATATAAAATCTGTATTTATTATATTGCATGAAATCTACAAAACCATCTTTTTCTGAAAGTGATATTTATGCTAATTCATAAAAGTCACAAGAATTTATGCCTTCAGATTCCATTTAATGGAATTGGACTTTAACTCAATTCAATGTATTTTTTTATAGCCATAGAATCACAAAAGTACAGTAGTCATCTCTGAGGACTTTACAAAGTTGTTGATTTGCCAAAATAGATAGAACACAGGAGAGGCAACAATAACAGACAAATAAGAGTCATTGGTCCCTAAGGGGCAGATGACCATTGTCTTTAAGTGCTAATAAATGTCCATAAATGTCCTGGATCATACACGGGTCGGGGGAAAGCAGTCCACAGGTGCAGATGAGAGGGTGGTGATGCCTCTGAATCCAATTAATGAGCCAAATAATGAATAACATGACATTGTAAGTATCAGTTTCCATGTATTTACTGATGACCCAAATTAAAGCCGTCTTCAGTCACCACGAGCTGCCACTGCAACAATATCTTCTTTGTATTTTAGAACATGCAAGCTTTTCCTTTACTGTAGTTTTTTTGTAAATGCAATTTGTAGAAGCCTCAGTCACTTTCTTTTGCTGCAATACCATGAATAATATTTAACACAAAAAATACATTTGCATTTTGAATCTTTTCCTTTTCAGTGTCCTCAATTATGTGTGTGCCTGCTGACTTTCCATAACCATTCTAAAGTTATAATGTTGTTATAACTATGTTTACATACCACTTAAAACATGTGTAATAAGTGCAATAGGGTGAATGAGTGTGCGTGAGTGTGAGATAACAGATGCAAATTAGCAATACAACTATAATCTGGTGTGTTTATACGAATATGCACCGTTTAATCCAAAAATAAATACAAATACAAATGCAAAACTAAAAGGAATAAGATTACAAGGGCCAAAATGAATTTCAGCCTGAGTCGTCCTCTGACCTTGGAGCTCTGGCGAATGAAAGAGAGGCGGTCAACAGAGCTGATGTCCAGCAGGTCCTCCACGCCATCGGTCAGCCCAGAGAGAGAGGAGCGCTTCAGCCAGTTACCTGTAGGAGGCAGCAGCTGTTAGAGCCACAGAACACCGTCTAGTACATGATACAGATATCCAGGGTGTGATCACGCGTAGGGCTGCATGATTACTAAGGCACTTTACCATTTATTATATATATTATAAACAGCTCTATGCTACAAACAATCTATGTAGATGTGATTTTAAAGATGGGGTACCTAACCTAAAGAATAGAACTATGTCATCAAATTCAACTCGATCCTTGCTTTCAAGACGTTCTGTCACTAGCTTTGAGACGTACATACTGTTGGCTTTAGACTAGAGCTTTTTAAACCCAAGTGAAAAAGAGGACGACCCTCACGCAGCCAATGAGCTCTCAGCCCGAAGAGTTAATTTGTGATTCACACACAACATGCTGTTTTGATCATATTAGAAATCATCTTTAGCAAACTTGTAAGAAAGAGCCATATAAGCCAATCTTTAGGCTGAGAGCTGTTTAGTTTCTTTTTTACTTTTCTATTTGAAGAAGTGACAGTGGCCAAAAATACATGTGAAAACTCGTGGTGATGAGAGCAAGGAACACGCTCAATTACATTCTTCCATTTTATTTCTGGTTTGAAAGTTCAAAGTATTTGGATAGTATATATAGTCTGGAAAAGTTTTAGCAATAGCAACATTTTATTTTTGCAAACCAAAAAGTAAGACTTTTTTCCCCACAGTGTGACTGTCTTAAGAATTGCCAAGGATGGATTTGATCTTGCAGCCCTAGCATGCTGGTAAAAAGCTGGCATATCAGTTCACTCATCAAGACACACAAGACAATATTGATAAAGGCAAATTAAATGAAAAATAGCAGACACAAATATCAAGACATGGAACAAACATGGACCAGACATATGGTGGTGGTGCATACGTAAGACAGAGAATGTGAGTGGGAGCCGGGCCCGTCCACGGTATGCTGAGGATACAGTAACAAACGTTAATTTGCGCATGACACAGTTTAAGTTTATTGTTTATTTGGTTGGGACAGTGCATGTTAACAAACATATCACTCCAGATTGAGGCTTTGGGGTCAATTTCCATCCGTCGTCCCACAGTCGCACTCACAACCACACACTCATCCACCCTGAAGTATTGTACATGTTTTTAGTGGTGGGGGATACCGGAGGATCCGGAGGAAACCTACACAGACAAGGGGAGAACATGTCAACTCCACTCAGAAAGGCCCCATTCCAACCAGGATTTCGAACCAAGGACCTTCTTGCTGAACAGCGAGAGTGCTATACACTCAGCCACAGTGGATACAATGGTTTATTAACGACAAATTCAAAAGGTGCGGTGCTCTCCTCTAACCCTTTCTGACCTGAATTTGATAGTCTGGAACTCTAAATGAATTACAAATGTTAAGAAATTTATTAAATTGACCTCCTGAGTTTAAATGTTCATTTTATGAATTCTAATATTACGGGTAAGTCCCGCCTTCCCTTCTCTTAGCTATAGCTCAAAATCCACGATGCTGTCCACTTTCACCAATCAAGTGATGCCAAGAGCTGTCAATCATCACGCTCGTACTCGTAGCTGCGCTCATGCTCAGTTGTTTGTTTTCACGGAGCCTCCACCAGGCTCTGGAAGTACTTGAAAACTGAACAAAGAATTCTGAACATCAGCGGTGAGGGACCCAGGTATAAACTAAACCTAAATCTTCGGCTAATGTGTTCTAAAATGTTCAATTAATGTTAATAATTCCGGATTTATTGCAATCGCGTTTTGTCTCATTAAAACAGTATTTCTGTCATGAAAACTTTAACAGATAATTCTAAACACGTGTGTTAAGAATGTACATGTATAATGTATTCTCTGATTAACATTTAAATGTGTTGATTGATTGTTATTTGTGTTATTGAGCGTGGCTATCTCTCTCAAAGACAGTAGTGGTTCGTGACAGGCGCTGAAAGCCCGTTGTGACGGGCGCAATCTTAGTATTTTACACACCTGAAGCACAAGCACAGAGTGCGTTGCCAAAGGGTAGCACTCACTTTGGTTTGAGAGGTCAGTTATCAAGAAATAATGATCTGTAGAACGTAATGGAGCGTTCTACTGCTGCTGTGAGGAGCTGTATAACAAATTATGATTAAATATTCTAATATATTCACATTTTTAAATTGATAATCTCTCCTCGCATGTTGTGGACCATTGACCTAGCTCGTGCACAGAAAAGTAGGCGTAGACCAATCAGAAAGGAAGGGGCAGGTGGCTTGGGTCGTTTTTTTTTCTTTAAATCATCTACCTCTCTCTCTTTTCTCTGACAAACTCCAGACAATCACTTTAAGAAAGCGTAAGCATGATTTAGGTCTAAGGATGTAAAAAACTATTTTCATGACCGACCACCGAGCCTCATTAACCGGTTGAAACCGGTTAACCGCGTAGTTTAAAATATTCCACGTTCTTTGAAATAACAGCCCTTTCGAGTCGCAAACTTTTCATTGTGCAGCTCTGCGATTGACTGGATCAGAACCAAGACAGCAGAGCGATACCTGCAACAGCTTCGGCACCTTTGCGCACTGAGAACTGTTTTTTGAATCTTTCCACTCTTCCGTGCTGCGGGTTAAAGCTTTTTAGCAGCAAACGACGGCTCGTTCACATGGTCAGAGCAGCGAGTGACGAGCTGCGTCTCGCAGGTCTCCGCTAAAGTTTAAATACAAGTGATGTGTGTGGAGCTGATGCCAAGGACCATAAACACAAACATGTTTCATGTGGTTTGACTGGAGCCGCGTATTTGCAAGGATCCTTTGGGCTCCGTGACACAGACGAGCGCGACAGACCGGTATGTGTGCATGTGTATGTGTGTGTAAATATATGCGTGTGTATGCTCCAATGTAGTTCTAACCTGCACAAGTGTACAACTTTGGCGGACTAGTAACGGAGGGGAGAAACGGACGAGAGTATGGATGATGCGTGTGGATGTTACGTATGAATGGAACGGGGAAAAGGTGCGCGAGTGTGAAATGGCACTTGTGTGTGCGAGCATGTATGTGTGTGTGCGCGGCGCGTGCGGCATGAGAGTTGGCCCGGAGTTTACTAATACATTGGCGCACACAGCTAAAGACAGACCCGCTCCTTCACACCGTGCGAATAGTGTTCAAAATAGCGTTATTAAGAGACCTCCCCTCGCCCCTTTTCTCTTTTTAACCGACAGCTTTGACCGGTTAACGCTGTGAAGGTCATCCACCGATTAACATCCCTATTTAAGTCGGATATCAGTTTAAATTATTCTTTTTCAGAATAATTTAAGTACTGCCTAGACTATTAGATGCACCTGTATATCAACCGCACAAGCAACATTGTTGACCACACATGAATATTATTCAAGTGTAATTATTTTTATAAGTGTATTTACCGTTCATTCTCCAGTCTATTTTGACAATAAATGAGTGTCCTATGTAAATTGTAGTCCAAATAAGTCTATAAAGATAGATTTGAACAAAGTAGCACCTAAAGTAATCAGTAAATTACCGCATTGCTGGTTCTATGAGAGCTCATAGTTCATAATTAACTCAGTTGTCAATGTTGCATGTATTTTGTTAACTCATTGAAATGTCAATGACCGAAAAGAGGACACAGTACCACCAGCTGCCAGTAGATGGCAGTGCAATCTTTGGAGAGAGGTGTGTCAGTTGGGTTGAAGTGAGAAATGGAAATACATTTTAAAACTTGACACTATTGCAATTGTTTGAAAATATAAATCGTATCAATTTAAGTGCCTTAACAGTATTGCCTTCATATCAAAGTAGTTTTGAGAAAGCCAGCAAAATTAATTAAATATAGAAGGCAAGCAATACAAATAAACTTGGCCTTGCCTTGCCTTAAATTCCCTTTATTATGTTTAAATACAGAATCATGAAGTACCTCACTTATAGCACTAGATGGAAGTATTTCTCCAGAGTCTTCCTTTAAATGATATTTAATCATATATATTTTCCTTAAAAAAATATTTTGAACTGTCCATCCATTTTTTCCCCTTTGTCCATTTCTGGGCCAGGGTGCAATCAGCTGCCACCCAATTCACAGAGCATCTGCCTCTCACTGCAGGTGGTGAGTCCACAGGAGCCTTGATCTTTCAGCGGCGGCTTCAGGCAAAGTGGGATTAAGTGTCTTGCCCAAGGACACAACCACAGTACAACTACCTGGTCACTGGACAGCAGGAGTCGGAGGAGAATATCTTATTAGATATTCAGGCTCAAAGGCCAATGCTCTACCAACTGAGCCACTGTCGCCCAGTTTGCATTCTAAAACATAAAATGATCATTATATTGTCATTTATTGAACTTATAATGGACATAAATGAAAGAGTCTCTCCAATCTACTGCTTAGGAACTACCAGTGGCTCACTGTTCAGTGAGTGTGGCTTACCGTTAGCCAGTTTGACGGAGTGCTTGCTGGTCTGCTGGCTTGAGTGAGTGCACGCTCGTCTGCGTTTCATAGTGAGTGTGCGATGGTCTTACCGATGGGCAGTTTGAGCTTCTTGCGGAGGGAGATGCGTCGGGAGCGCGAGCGGGACCTGCGCTCTGTGGTGTTGCCGGAGTGCGCGGTGGTGCACTCGGATGTGTCCTGCTCAGACTGGCTGCTTGTGTCACTGGCTGCGCTCTGAGACTTAAACATCTTCCTCCAGAAGTCCTTCCGGCCCAGGAGCGCACCGGGAATCTGCTCCTCGCTGCAGTAACATCACAGGCAAAGAAACACAAACACTTTATAATGGGTCTGTTTGTGCTGAAGTGCAAATATACAGGATGTGGAATCCTTTGAGCCTCAAACATTTTTAATTGGAAACTATGTGGGTAAATAAATCAATAACGCAACAATTTTTGAATAAGTGTCATTTCCACTGACTGTGCATCTCTGTATATTTCTCCAACACTTGTGTTATTAACTATGAATTCAATTCTGTTACTGCTTGTTGTTAAAGTGATTGTCTGGAGTTTGTCAGAAAGAGAGACAGAGAGGTGCTTGATTTGAAAAAACGACGCAAGCTCCCTCCCCCTTCCTTTCTGATTGGTCTACACCTACGTTTCCGTAACACTTTGAAATGTTAATCAGAGAACACATTATACATGTACATTATTAATACACATGCACAGAGGTTTTCAGAATTATTTGTGAACGTTTTAATGAAAAAAATAATGTTTTTATGCTCAAAAAAAGCGATCGCGGCAAACCAGGAAGTGCCATTATCATGAATTGCACATTATAGGACACAACTCTCCCCCTGGACTGCCACCTTAACGTGGTGGGGGAGTTTGAGTACTCGGGTGATCCTGGGAGCTATGCTGTCTGGGGCTTCATGCCCCTGGTAGGGTCTCCCATGGCAGACAGGTCTCGGGTGACGAGTCAAACGAAGAGCAGTCAGAAGCCAACATGGAAAGCACGAACAGAAGAACCGTGACGTCGCCCGGCATGGCTCAGCCGGGGCCACACCCTGGAGCCAGGCCTGGGGTTGGGGCTCGAATGCGAGTGCCTGGTGGCCGGGCCTTAGCCCACGGGGCCCGGCCGTGCTCAGCCCGAAGGGATGACGTATGCAAGTCCCTCCTGTGGGCCCACCACCTGACGAGGGGTCTGTGGTGGCGCGGTGCAGAGAGGACTGGGCAGCAGTCGAAGGCGGAGACCTCTGGCTCTTGGGACGTGGAACGTCACCTCACTGGGGGGGAAGGAGCCCGAGCTTGTGGGGGAGGTTGAGAGATACCGACTAGAGATAGTCGGCCTCACCAGTGGCTCACTGTTCAGTGAGTGTGGCTTACCTATGGCCAGTTTGACTGAGTGCTTGCTGGTCTGCTGGCTTGAGTGAGTGCACGCTCGTCTGCGTTTCATAGTGAGTGTGCAATGGTCTTACCGATGGGCAGTTTGAGCTTCTTGCGGAGGGAGAAGCGTCAGGAGCGCGAGCGGGACCTGCACAAGTCCCTCCTGTGGGCCCACCACCTGCAGAGGGGTCTGTGGTGGCGCGGTGCAGAGAGGACTGGGCAGCACTCGATGGCGGAGACCTCTGGCTCTTGGGACGTGGAACGTCACCTCACTGGGGGGGAAGGAGCCCGAGCTTGTGGGGGAGGCTGAGAGATACCGACTAGAGATAGTCGGCCTCACCTCCACACACAGCTTGGGCTCTGGAACCCAACTCCTTGAGAGGGGTTTGACGCTCCACTTTTCTGGTGTTTCTCGCGGGGAGAGGCGGCAAGCTGGGGTGGCCATTCTCATTGCCCCCCATCTCAGCCGCCACGTGTTGGAGTTCTCCCCGGTGAATGAGAGGGTCGCGTCCCTCCGCCTCCGGGTGGGGGACAAGTCTCTCACTGTTGTGACGGCCTACGGGCCTAACAGCAGTGCAGAGTATTCAGCCTTCTTGGAGTCCTTGGGAGGGGTACTGGACGGTGCACCAACCGGGGACTCCGTTATTCTCCTGGGGGACTTCAACGCCCATGTGGGAAATACCAGTGGCACTTGGAGAGGGGTGATTGGGAAGAACGGCCCGCCCGGTCTGAATCCGAGCGGTGTTCAGTTGTTGGACTTCTGTGCCAGTCACGGTTTGTCCATCACGAACACCATGTTCGAGCACAAGGGTGTCCACCAGTGCACGTGGCACCAGGACACCCTAGGCCGGAGGTCGATGATTGACTTTGTGGTCGTATCATCTGACCTTCGACCGCGTATCTCGGACACTCGGGTGAAGAGAGGGGCGGAGCTGTCAACTGATCATCACCTGGTCGTGAGTTGGAACGTCTCGCTGAGCCCCCTGTCAGACGGACTTTCAACTCACACCTCCGGGAGAGCTTCTCCCAGGTCCCGACGAAGGAGGGGGACATTGAGTCCGAGTGGACCATGTTCTCTTCCTCTATCGCCGATGCGGCGGCTCCTAGCTGTGGTCGCAAGGTCTCTGGTGCTGGTCCCGGCGGCAATCCCCGAACCCGGTGGTGGACACAGGCAGTAAGGGATGCCGTCAGGCTGAAGAAGGAGTCCTATCGAGCAATGATGGTTTGTGGGACTCCTGAGGCAGCTGTCCAGTACCGGCTGGCCAAGCGTGCCGCGGCCCGGGCTGTTGCAGAGGCAAAACACGGGACTGGGAGGAGTTCGGAGAGTCCATGGAGCATGACTATCGGTCGGCCTCGAAGAGATTCTGGCAAACCGTCCGGCGCCTCAGGAGGGGGAAGCAGTTCTTCCCCCTTCTTGCCAACACTGTACGGTGCGGGTGGAGGGCTGCTGACCTCAACTGGGGATATTGTCGGGCGGTGGAAGGAATACTTCAAGGTTCTCCTCAATCCCCCCGTCACGTCCTCCGCCCCGGAGGCAGAGGCTGAAGATGTTGGGGCGGATACTTCCATCTCCCTGGCTGAGGTCTCCAGGGTGGTTAGCAGCCTCCATGGTGGCAAGGCGCCGGGAGTGGATGAGATCCGTTCTGACTATCTAAAGTCTCTGGATGTTGTAGGACTGTCTTGGCTGACACATCTCTGCAGCATCGCGTGGCGATCGGGGGCGGTGCCAATGGAGTGGCAGACCGGGGTGGTGGTCCTTCTCTACAAAAAGGGGGACCGGAGGTTGTGTTCCAATAATCGTGGGATCAGACTCCTCAGCCTCCCTGGTAAGGTTTACTCCAAGGTACTGGAGAGGAGGCTACGGCTGATGGTCGAATCTCGGATTCAGGAGGAGCAGTGTGGTTTTCGTCCCGGTCGCGAAACTCTGGACCAGCTCTATACTCTCCATCGGATACTCGCCCAACCTGTCCACATGTGCTTTGTGGATTTGGAGAAGGCGTTCGACCGTGTTCCCCGGGGTGTCCTTTGGGGGGTTCTCCGGGAGTACGGGGTCCGGGGTCCTCTGCTGAGGGCCGTCTGGTCCCTGTATGACCGGAGCCAGAGCTGTGTTCGCATTGCCGGCAGTAAGTCAGACCTGTTCCCGGTGCACGTTGGCCTCGGCCAGGGCTGCGCTTTGTCACCGGTTCTGTTCACTGTGTTCATGGACAGAATTTCTAGGCGCAGCTAGTGGTCGGAGGGGGTCCGGTTCGGGGACCACAGGATTTCATCTCTGCTATTTGCGGATGATGTCGTCCTGTTGGCTCCAACGAACCAGGACCTGCAACATGCACTGGGACGGTTTGCAGCCGAGTGTGAAGCGGCTGGGATGGGAATCAGCACCTCCAAATCTGAAGCCATGGTGCTCGACCGGAAAAAGGTGCCTTGCCTTCTTCAGGTGGGTGGGGAGGTCCTTCCTCAAGTGGAGGAGTTCAAGTATCTCGGGGTCTTGTTCACGAGTGAGGGAAGGATGGCGCGTGAGATTGACAGGCGGATCGGTGCAGCGTGCACAGTGATGCGGTCGCTGTATCGGACCGTTGTGGTAAAGAGAGAGCTGAGCCGAAAGGCAAAGCTCTCGATTTACCGGTCAATCTTCATTCCCTCCCTCACCTATGGTCATGACCTTTGGGTAATGACCGAAAGAAGGAGATCGCGGATACAAGCGGTCGAAATGAGCTTCCTCCGCAGAGTGGCTGGGCGCTCCCTTAGAGATAGGGTGAGGAGCTCAGTCACACGGGAGGAGCTCGGAGTAGAGCCGCTGCTTCTTCACGTCGAGAGGAACCAGTTGAGGTGGCTCAGGCATCTGCTCCGGATGCCTCCTGGACGCCTCCCTGGGGAGGTGTTCCGGGCACGTCCCACTGGGAGGAGGCCCCGGGGAAGACCTAGGACACGCTGGAGGGACTATGTCTCTCAGCTGGCCTGGGAACGCCTTGGGGTCCCCCCGGACGAGCTGGAGGAAGTGTGTGTGGATAGGGAAGTCTGGGGGCGTCTCTGCTTAGACTGCTGCCCCCGCGACCCGGCAACGGATGAAGCGGAAGATGGAATGGTAGGACACAACTAAAAAAATAAAAAAATAATAAAAAAAGGACACATCTGCAGAGGATCTGATTATGGATATAGGTTCAGTATATAAAAGATTATGGATATAGGTTCAGTATATAAATGATTATGGATATAGGTTCAGTATATAAATGATTATGGATATAGGTTCAGTATATACACAAGTACCTCAGCGCAGATGTTCAGAATTCTTTGTTCAGTTTTCATGTAGTTCCAGAGCCTAATGGAGGCTTGATTTGGAGGCTCCGCGAAAACAAACAACTGAGCATGCGCCCAGCTGCGAGCATCAGCGCCGATGATTGACAGCCCTTGGCATGACTCGATTGGTTAACGTGGACGGCATCGTGGATTCTGAACTATAGCTAAGAGAAGGAAAGGCGGGACTTGCCCATAATATTAGAATTAATAAAACGACTTATTTTATATCAACATTTAAGGCCAGGAGGTCAATTTAACACATTTCCTAAAATGTATAATTAATTTAGAGTTACAGACTATCACTTTAACTCCTGTCTGTCTTTGTATGTTGCTATTTATGTATTTGTTGGATCTGGCCTATTCACATTTGTTTCATTCTGTTGTTGTTGTTGTTACGGCTCTTGATCTTGCTCCCTTTTTCTTCTTCTTCTTTTTCTTGTGGGTTTCCGGCAGACTGTGCGCCAGTCGGCGCATTGCTGCCTTTCACTGGTGGATCCAATTATTGCACCCTAGGTCCATTCAAATTCTCTGGTACAGTCCGGTACTAAAAATAAATTCCACAAGCGCACGAAAAACTTCTTGCTGCTGCACATGGGGAGCAAGCAATGACCTCAGATTCACACGCTCAAGTCCCAGGTGAAGAGCACGAGAAAACAGCAGTCTTCTTTGGTCCACATATTTCCTCCATTGTAAGAGAACATGTTTCACTGTCTCTTGCTCACTGCACTCTTCACACAGGCCATCTCGGTGCTTTCCGATCCGATACAGGCTTTGAGCAAGTCCACAATGACCCAGTCTCATTCTGGTTATCATAACCTGCTCCTTCCTGTTATTCCCCCGGGTTGCTTTATCTCCCCCACTAATACTCTGCTGGATGCTGTAAAAGTGCCTTCCTCTTGTCTCCCTGTCCCATGCTCTCTGCCACTGTTCACACACTCTCATTTTAATTAGATGCCGATGCTCACACACACCAAAAGCCACCACCACCTCTACTCTGTCGCTCTGCAAGGAATTTTTAGCAATCCTATCCACCACCTCATTTGCATCTACCCCCACATGCGCTGGAACCCACAAAAAACCCACATCATTCCCTCCCCTCTCTATCCTACACAGAACGCTTAGAGCGTCATATAAAAGATCTGGTCTTGTTTTAGACGACCCTGCCTCAAGGGACAGCAACACCGCCGCTGAGTCTGAGCAGACAACCACACTCTCTAGTCTCAATCGCTCAATCCATTTAAGGGCCCACACTTTTGCCAAAAATTCGGCTGTAAAAACTCCAATTCCATCTGGGAGTCGTCTGCCCTGACTCAGGGCCAACGTTGGGCTGTGTACCCCAAACCCTGCTCTCCTTCTCTGAGGGTCGACCGACCCATCCGTATACACTTGCAGGGCACTGTTCCAGTTGGTCACCAACACCTCCCTTTGCTCCCTTTTTGTATTTTGTGTTTTGTGTGTGTAGCAACTCCCACTCCCCTGTCTAAGGAACCCTGTCCTGTGATGGGAGGGCCTCCATGGAGGTTTGCAGCTGCAGGCTCTGATTGGAGGAGCATCATCTCACCTGGCCAATCCCGATCTCGCACCTGGAGTGCCTCTCCCACTTAAGGACACACTCTACAACTTTGTTATAAAGGGACATTCAATGTGTCTTTGGTATATCATGTCAGTTGAATTAGAGTTTAACTTCTGTGTAGTCCAGTTTAGGATTTGGCAATTTGGTTTTGTAACCTTTTATTACCCCGTGTCTATTTGGTATGTTCACCCTTTCATTTGTGCTAAACCCTAACATTTACATTCCTGTTATTGAATTACTTCTTTACCATTTCACATGTTGGTTTTACCGCCCTCATCCTAATACATACATCGTCACAATTTTTGGCTCCTGTTTTATAATTAGGGCTCTCTTCTATGCAAAAGACAACATGTTTTCTGGTAATGGAAAGATTTGCTCTAATTTTACTTATAAGACAATAATTGTTAAACCATGATCTATTTCCTCACAATTATTGTAACTCTAACATTTCATATCCACAGAGGAGTTTATCTCCAGGTCGGAGGCCGTGTTAGCCGTACCTCCTGGGACCAGCGCTCTTGCAGTCATCCCTCTCGTCTGGCTTCTTGGTGGCCGTGACCTTTTCAGCGCTGTCCAGGAGCGCGCTCAGGGCCACTCTTCGGAACACGTTTCCATGGGCCTCCTTTATGAACTGCACCAGCTGCCGGATGTCACAGTACAGGCCCTGCATGGGACAGGATGGGGACAGGGCTGTTAAGTTCTAACTCTTTAGAATTTAAGGAAAGCTCAAGCTGTGGCTTAAAACTAACCATGCCCCCATTTCTAAACTTGTAAATAATAGTATTTTGTGTGTGTTTGTGAGTGTGTGTTCTTGACTGTGATCGTGTGTTGTCCGTATAGCTGATATTGGTGGGGGTAATGTATTTATGTTAGAGCACTCTTGTAAATATATGTTTTAGGGCTAGGTCTATTTTATTCATTTGGTATAAGGTGTGGCACTGTAGGGAAAAGCTCAACCAGGGACAGGAGTTGAAAATTAGCATTAGCTGTTAGGAGTGTGACATTATAACAATATGGTGATGTATTGTGATACTTTCTCACGCAATCGATTATCAATATGCTTTTGCTAAGTATCTATTTAAAAATAATTTTTTTAAGCTCATATTGATTTTATGTGATGTAAAACAGATTAAGTAACATTTTTACAAAAATGTGCAGGTTAAAAGGCATTTTTGCTTGATCACTTTAATGGTACACATGATACTTTATCAATTTATCTTGAAATTTTTCACTTAATTTATGCCATAAATATTATCGTAGGTATATTTTTGACCGATATATCGCTAATCACTACATTGTTATATTGTGAGCATTTTTTTATCGTGAGCTTTGTATCGCACATGGTATCGTATCGTCAGGTACCCTGAGGTTCCGACCCCTATTAGCTATACACTCTGTATGTGTCGCATCAGCTGCATCTTTCCTAATGTAACTATGTATGACTGGTCTCATCATCATCGGTCTCATCAGTAACAATGATGAATCCTCTTATAGAGCAGAAATACAAAATGTGGTTCAGTGGAGTAAAACTAACAACCTCCAGTTGAACGCATCAAAAACATGTGAACTGGTCTACGACTTCAGTTGCAATAATTCTCATTTGCCTGTCGTAATCGACAACTCCCAGGTGCAGATTGTAGAGGAGTGTAAGTTCCTGGGTTTAACTCTGTCTAACGACCTGAAATGGGTTAAAAACACTGACCGAGTCGATAAGAAAGCTCGTCAGCGTCTCTACTTTCTGCGGAAACTTAGAGAATTTACCACTAACTCTAAGATTCTGCTTAACTTTTATCGCTGCACCATTGAGAGTTTACTTGTTGGTTCTGTGTCTGTGTGGTTTGGAAACATCACAGATAAAGAAAAGAGAGCTTTAAACAAGGTGCTCCGCTCTGCAAGAAGGACCGTGGGCTGTGAGCTTCCTGTTCTGGAGGTTCTTTATAAATCCAGACTTTTAAACAAAGCTCTAAGAATTATCAATGACTCTTCTGGCCACCCTGGAAAAGCCTTGTTCCAGCATCTTCCCTCTGGCAGAAGATATCGTTCTCTGAGATGCAGGACATCTCGTTGTGCTAACAGCTTTTTTCCACAGGCTGTTATCAGTGTGAACAGAGCACTTTAATGATTTGCACTTGTTTTGAAACGGTTTTAGCCGATCGATTTCACAGTGACATTTGTTTACTGTTTTATTTGTTTTATTTCCGTACTTTTAATGTTGTTTTATGTCTGTATTTGTCTGTGCACACTGGTGACTTTTTGCTAATGTATTCCAATGTGGTTTTTTTTACTGCAAAGAAATAAACTGAATCTGACTACATTGTTCCTGTCAAATAAAAAAAAAAAAAAGACCCACTTCCAAGTCCAAATGACAGCAACTTTAAATTCTAGCATTTGAAAATCACTGAAATACCTCTTTCCTTTCACTTTAAGTCACTGCATTGACACTGAAAAAACCTGCACTACTATTGACACTGTTTCTGATTGCCACTTTTAAATTGCCACTTTTTTATTGTACATAACATCCTGTATTTAACAGGTTTGCACATTTCCTCTCTTTTTGCACAATCTTGAGTGTTTCTATCCATGCCAAATGTGACATGTAAATTTCTCCTTTGTGTGATAAATAAAGCATACTGTATCTTATCTTATCTTCCTGGTCCTTATTAATTCTAATGATCACTAAACTATGAGTGCACAGCGCTCCTCTGGCTCCTATGCCATGACATAAATGTATTAAGCAAAATAGAGAGATAGATGTATTTCTTATTCTAAAAAGGTAATTACAGGCAATCCTTCAAATCTCCGGCTTTTTTCAGAAATATTCGGAGAATGACGTTGGCTGTTGGCGCTGAGATATCAGCTGCGTGTTGGGATCTCTAACCTGCTCCTAGCCACACTAGGAACATCCCCAGGTTCTCATGATAAAAGGGATAATGAAGGAAGCCAGGAGGTTCCTTTCCTTACAGTTCCTTGACAGCCCCAATTTGGATCCTCCTTGTCATGGCGGCCGGAAAACATTGGTTTCCGGGTCATTGCATTTACTGTATTTGGGTCAGTTCTCTAAAACACATTTTAACACATAGACTTGACTTCAAATCTTGCCAAATTTCTTCCAACCACAAACTAAACGAGGGTCAAAGTCAGTCTCATGTACACAATGGTGATGGCATTAGATCAGAAAAGTCACAATCTTCAGGTGTCGTCCAGGTCAGAGCCACACCATTCTGGCCCCATGAGCTCGAGCAGTCAAACTACAAAATTAACATGCTTGTCGATGTTTTGTTTTCCTTGTTTCATTTGGTTTTCTCATCTCATGAGGGCTATTACCTTTACTTATTTATCTTTTTTAGTATTTGTTGTATGTTGTATGTTTAATTATGGGGCTTTATATACACTTTTTAGAATATAAACTTTATAGTGGTCACTTGTTATACTTTCACTTTTACATTTCAATTGCTTGCAACTCTTTTAAGAGTTTCTGATTCATAAATGTTTTCACAATGAACCTCTTAAAAGAGTATAATGAAAATAAAATAGCATGATAAAAAAATCTTCGAAAGAAGGAAAGTGATATTCGATGTATATGTGTATATACAGTATATGCACATGTATGTGTGTATACAGAATGTGCACATGTATGAGTGTGTGTATACAGAATGTGCACATGTATGAGTGTGTGTATACAGAATGTGCACATGTATGAGTGTATAAATGTGCACATGCATTTATGTCGACATGTATACCAATCTGACCTCTTCTCCCTTTGATCTAAGCTAGGAAATTGAATCATTCTAGGGAATGTGAGTGACATGTCTTGCCTAAGGACACAACGACAGTTTGGCACTTTACATCCGCACCCGCCCCATCGTGGCACCTGGTGTTCCCAGAAGTCTCTCATCACAGTGCTAACCAGGCCCTGCGCTGCACAGCTTCAAGGTCTGCCGGGATCTGGTCTTGCCTCCACCTTTTGTACATGAGTAGGAATGCCCTCAAAACCCTCCTACAACGCCCTTCCCCAGATGACCCATAAGGACAAACACAGGCAGAAGTCAGTCCGCTTTGTGCTTTGTGAAGGAGCACTGTGTCTAAAACAGAGTAGACTACAATAGATCCTGGCCCTAATACTCCTTAGATCACCTCCAAAACATAACCTCAGGTTTGAGAGGACTCCAGAAACATAACCTTCAACTTCAACCTCATCCATTGCCATTCCCACGCAACTAAGATAGCTATCGGTATACCGACCAACCCCACTTATATGGATGATCTGCTCGGTACTACACAGCTTCGTTTACATTATTAAGAGAAGAAAGTGCTGTTACAGCTGAAGTCAACAGTTTGTTGATCTCTATATGATAGAAATGTTCATCTTCAGACTTTTATCATTTGTGCAGCTCTTTATTTATCAGCATCATTACTTCTGTTGGAGTGAGCTTGTGTTGTGTTTACAATGAAGACAATGGAGTTGAGGTACAACTCTGCAAGAAGAGGGCGTCATGCACTCATCGTTTTGTGACTTCTTTAGTTCAATCTTAAGCCCTTTTACGTTTCTCACTTCCGCCTCCGTTTCTCACTTCCGCCTCCGTCGAGCAAAGACGTGTCTCAGACCGCTCCTGCTTCTGACTGCTTGCTATCTCCTGTTTTTGTCTTTTTCCTGGAGTTTTGCCACAGACAACTTTAACAAGAATGGAAATGATTAACTGGTCCCTCAACGCAATTGATTCTATCTTTTCAACACGTAAGCGTGGGTCTGGAGAGCCCGTGTGCCCGGACGGGACTTCACCAGCGGGGTATACTCTTGACAGCTGGAACAAGTTTCAGCCCCTCTGTCTGTCGACCCTGTCCATTGAAGATTCGGAAGACGTATATATCTTTGGCATTTTGGTGGTGGGAATCCTCCTGTTTGGGTTTGGAGCGATCCTCTTCTACCACAAATTCGGAGGCATGGCAGTTCGCAAGATTCACGACCTGCTGGCCGACAAAATTGATGGGATGTACAAGGAGCTTAGCCGCGTCGTGGTTGAGAGCGCCGTGTCTGGACAACGGAGAGTGGTGTTGGTGGAACAGTTGATAAAAGATCTCGCAGCTCGTTCACTCGAAGGGAATAAAACTCTGGAGTTGAGATTGAATGACATCGTTTGCCAGGCTTGAACTCTCTGACCCGGCTTGGATTTGCCCCTGTGTACGGGGTCTGAGGGCGCCGCAATTCGGTTTAATTGGATTTAATAGAACATCTGCCTGCTTTTAACTGCTACATTGCATTAATATTGTCCCCCTGAGGCGATGTGTTTTTCTCCTCCTGTGCCTTCTCTCCACTCTTATCTCACATTCCTCGGCCAAGGCCATAATAACAAAAGTCCCATCTACAACAACTCACACTATTCAGTCTCCAGCTTGGATCCCCTACCCCCGCCTCCCTCTACCTATCCATCTTGCTCCCTCCCTCCCCTCCACTCCTCACTGTGTTTCCGACTCACCCCCCTCCCTGACCCCGCCCCCCTCTGACAGCCACATTGGCCGGCTGTCGGAGGTGCTCATCCCGAGAAAAAATCCGTGCTTTATACAAAGCACAATGTGTCTATCCAACTGTCTGTGAAACTGTATGTTATTGCTCTCTGCTGTTTATTCTACTGTTTGTCGCATGGCGCCGTAAAGATGGCGCCGTGGCAAGAGCTCTGGTGTGTGTTGTCTTCTCTGTCTGGTGCACACCGGGGTAGTCTTGCACAGTTTTTCCAATGTGGTTTTACTGCAAATGGCAAATAAATGAATCTGAATCTGAATCTGAGGAGAGCCACTAGATTTTCTTGGAGTTCCTTAATGTTGACCTGAACAGAAGATCAGCCGTTAGGAGCAATAAAGATGAGGAAGTGTAATGTTTCCATACAATTTCTTCATTTATTGCAATTTAAACACCCACACTAAATCAGCAACTGCTGATATAGTGTCACACTGCTACTGTGTGATAGCAATACCTTTCCTGTCGAGTTGAGCTGCGGCTTACGTCAGTAAAATGACGTAGGCATCATGTGGCTAACTCGACAGCTAATAGCTTCCAACATAGAGTTTATTTATTATTTCCATTTTCAACCCAACAGGCCAGACTTTATGTCCACCATCTTGAATTGCTTCGGCTGCCGGGTTTGCATTACATCATAAACAGCTGAGGGAGCTCATCTCGAGGGGCAGACCAACTCGACAGAACACCAGCGCTGATTGGCTAAAGCTAGTGCAGGCTCTGACGTCACCACAATGCACAAAAACAAACGGCATTTAAAAAATCCAGCAGCATTAGCCTAGCAGACACCAGTGGACACAGCAAACAACAACAGCAAGATGTACGATAAATGGACGGATGATGAGGTGAAGGCAATTGTCTTCTAAAGCAGTGAAGAAATTCAGACAGGGTTTGAGGCATCGCGGAAAAATGAGAAGATACATCAGCACACCGTGAAGCACTGGGGATTCATCACACTCAGAAACAATGCCGTGAAAAGTTACACAAAACTGAAGCAGTACTACAAAGAAACTTAAAGACCACAACAACTGGAGCAGTTGTTAAAAGCAGTCACGTTAAAAAAAATAATTATTGATTACGTGGCGATCAAAACTCATGACGTTGCTGAGGGGTAGAGACACGGCCACTGAGAGGGCCGAGTGAGCGGACGGTTTCTGTAGTTGTCCCACCCTCTCCTTTTACCAGGAGTTCCTATGTGTGTTCAAACCCGGGGGGGGGGCGTGTCCCGGCTCAAAAAGGTCCATGAGCATGTGCGTTGACATACTTGCAATCCCACCCCGGGCCGGTGGGGGTGTACCCAGAAAGAGAATAACCCAATTCTTTTGTATGGCGCCTTCTTACCTCTCGACCTCTTTACAGGATGGTCCAAAAGTCATCTCTTGGTCCAACGCTACCTTCCAGATGTGTGTCAATGCTGAGGGGAGGATTTTTTTTGGACCAGCTGAGTATAGCCGCTGTGGACTTTTGAATGCACTTGTTAAATGAATGGGACTGGTGCATGGATCTATCTGGATAGGGTATTACTAGCTTGGAGCTGAAGGACCCTAGCCTGACTCTGGCCAGACCCATGTAGTTCGCTGCACTTCACACATGAGTCTGGTACTGAGCCATAGTGGTTGGATTTCAGAAGGCAGGGCCTTGTAAAAAAAATCCTTGTATGTGATTGGATAGACCACTTGTCCGTTATCTTGAATGAAGTTTGCTTTCAACCACTCACATCGAAGCACACGGCTCCCATAGGTTGCCAAATCCCAGCAAGATTTTCCAACCCAAAATCCGCGAGAATACCCACACAAAAAAAACACTCAGAATGATTTTTTGGCTAAAAACGTAATATAATCAACTTGGGCTATCATGATTCTGTTTAATGTCTTTCTGTTTATTTAATACCTACAAGTCTCTTGGAAAAAAATATGCGGGAACCACCAAACCTGGCAACCCTGCTGCATAGTGTGTAAACAGGAACACTAAACCAGTGCTTCAACCAAACTTAACAGGAACATTTGACTCTTAAAACACACATATATCAACATAGAACCATCTACATCTCGCCTCAAATTGCATTAAAAGTGACATCCGTGTCTTAATTCGATCGTATTTACTCTTTTAAAAAGATTCGCGGACTTTACGTCCGCCATCTTATATTCCTCTCGCTGCTGCATGAGAGAAGCTTGAGAAGGCAGTGCAAACCCCACGTAACACCGGCAATCCTGATTGGTCAATTAAAAAATAATATGGGGAAGGCGTTCGCTATGGCGTCGATACCAGACCCATGTGGTTCAGCCAAACGCCTCTGGTGGAGCATGGCGGAACTAGAAGGGTCTGGCAGGGCCAGGCTAGAAGGACCCATGTGCTTGGATGATTCTCGCGGTACTGCAGACTAAACGTGACTAAATTCACGTGGGTGTTGCATATTTCAGAAATGCAGCACACGTCGATCAACATTTTCTGTCATCCATGTATCAACGTCTATTGCGTTTTTATAAAGCGTTCTTATATTAACTCATTGACTGCCAGGCTATTTCAGAACAGGTACTCCCATATTGCCAGCCGTTTCTGATGATTTTTACTGATTTTTCAAGACCCACAGAATATTGTGTACTATGACTATCTGAAATCTGAAAACCAGATTCTAAAAGAATGGACTGTCTACTTTCATCAGCAAAAATAATTTTGTTTCTAGCTTGTTTCGTTCCCCTGTAATCCCCAGTTGAGTAGAGGGAAGTTTTACTGAAATCACCAGAAAGCTGAGAAAAAAGAGGCACCACATGTGCATCTGGCTGTTTTCAAACCATTCAGAGAGAAATGCTGCCACCTGCTGGCTCGATAAAATATGGTCTCAAGCCATCCCCATACATATTAGATACAATAGACATCTGGGAACGTAAAAATAGCGGGACACTCAATTGACGTGTTAATACGTCAATGGCGGTCAATGAGTTAATAATTTAAAAACCTTTTCTATAATGTTTAGCCTGAGTTTAGTGAATTCAGGGAAGATTCAAGGACAAGGTTGGTTTCTGTGATATAGTATCCTTTTAGGAACAGGTCGAGCATGCCTCTCTTATCGAGACAAGGAAGACCCGAAACCAGACCAGACCAGACTGGAAAGGATGCAGAGGGCGTATTCGGAGGCACATTCCTCTTGACATTTTCATAAAACTGTTGGTAGGACATTTTGAAAAGCAGTCTGAGCAGGGACAGAGAGAGAGAGGACATCGCAGAAGCACCTCTCAATGTCCTCTCAATACATTTTTAGGCCAGTTAGCTGCACTAACTGACTTTGGGATTTCGAAGCAGCGGACTCGCTGGCCTCGCTCTTTCTCCTTCCCTTCCCGCACCCACAAAGCTATCGCCCCCCACTACGGCACACCCACTGTTGTTGACGGAGTTAGCGTCTCCCAATATGGATAGATCCACGTATCGTACATTTGAGCGTGGATGGCGTGACTATAGAATGATAGAACCGGGAAGCGCGGAGGAACAGGACTTTCTTTTGAATGGATGTTTCGCTGTGTAAGCAGTTACCGGTGATGAAGACAAGGAAGCTTCAGGTTAGCGCCGCCGCTTGTTCTGCTAATTCAGCTGTCTGTGCTAATGACGGTTTCTCAGGAAAGTGGGGGCGAGGGGTCCGCTGTGATTATCTGAGACCCGAAACACATTCTCTTCCTTGTTTCATCAAAACTCGATCTAAAATATAATGTCACGCCAGCACAAATCTGCGCTACTTTTTCTTCAAAAGGGCGTATATCCCAATGCACTACATGGACATAGATAGCATTTTCGTAATTAATACAAAAATAAAGTCAGTGCAGCTTTAAATTGGCTCAGCTGAGAGGGCTAGTTAGGGAAATAAGAGCTCCAAGAGTTTTGTAATAATATTTAATTTAACTCTTGAATGTTGGTCTTATTTCTGTACCAAATTCTGAGACATGTCCGTTGTCTTTTTGACAATATGGGCTACCCAGAAATGTTCCCCATAGAACTCAATGTAAACTAAAACAGCTCGACCTCAGCTGACAGAGAACCTACAGCTTTCATAAAGGTCGGGTTTTGTGGGGATTTTAGTGTCCCTTGTCATCCTAAACTTTTTTCCTCCTTAAAGCTGCACTAACTGACTTTATTTTTGTATTCATTACGAAAATGCTATCCATGTCCATGTAGTGCATTGGGATATACATAATTTTGAAGAAAAAGTAGTGCAGATTTGTGCTGGCGTGACATTATATTTTAGATCGAGTTTTGATGAAACAAGGAAGAGAATGTGTTTCGGGTCGCGGATTGTGACCTATCACAGCGCACCACTAGCCCCCACTTTCGTGAGAAATCTACAGGTCCGTTAGCATAGACAGCTGAGTTAGCACAACAAGCGGCGGAGCTAACCTGAAGTTTTGTGTGTCTTAGTCACCGGTTACTGCTTACACAGCGAGACAGCCATCCAAAAGAAAGTCTCGTTCCTCCGCTCTTCCCGGTTCTATCGTTCTATGGTCACGCCATCCACGTGCAAATCCATATTCGTGTATTCATCCACATTGGGAGACGCTAACTCCGTCCCAACAGTGGGTGTGTGTGGGGGGCGATAGCTTCGTGGGTGCGGGGAGGGGAGCAGAAAGAGAGAGGCCAGCGAGTCCGCGGCTTCAAAATCCCAAAGTCAGTTAGTGCAGCTTTAAATCCTTCAATTTTCTTTAAATCCACACTTTAATGCCACAAACTCTGCTCGTTTGGCACCCACTCTAACTCCCGCTCTGGCTCCGCTCTGATCACCAGCCACTGACTGGTCAAAGCGTGGCTGAGCCCCTCTGTGCACGTGCATGAGAGCCACACACGCGTATTTAGTGCAACGCATCATAGAAGCTAGTCCACTGCGCAGAACTGGGAGGACCAGACGATGCCAAAATATAGGCGAGTTTCGCTAATCCTTCGGTGGCACATGCGTCACTGAGCAAAAACCATTAATTTGAATAAGGTGCCATCTTGGATCTCCGGGGCTTGGGCTAGTGCCGGCTAACATTTGTGGCCATTTTGAAACTGCCTACAGAAGGCAAAAGTGGTGGCACATTAATATTTACAGTCTATGGTTCAAACACCCAGAGAGGACTCCGTTCCCAGCGGGAGCAACGTGGCAGATCTGAGCGTCACTCACCAGGTTCTCTGGACTGTGCAGCTCATGTGTGGTGGAGGCACAGCGCGTTATCAGAGACTTGAACATGCAGCCCACCACCACCGCCTCCATGGTCTGAGCCACCGACTTGTTGTCCCCCGTGGCAAAGTTGTTCCCAAAGCCCGCTTTGTCTGGATGAAGAGAGAACGTCAGCCAGACACAAACACAGGACATCTTTAACACACATGCTCTAGTCAGGCTTAAGATGACGAGGATTCAGGTTACGTTTCTACATTAGAGGTATTTTTGACTAGGATAAGTATGTCTCTTCTGGTTTAAAAAATTACCAGTTGGCGACTAGTCTTTTTTCATCTTCTTCACCGCACTGGCAAAAAGTGCTTTCTTGAATTTGTCAGAAACAAGACATAAAGCAGGATGTTGGAAAATCGAGTAACTACATTGTTTTGAATCAATAAACTCCTAAAAAGGTAAATAATCCTGGTGAAATAAGCAAATTGAACCAAACTAGCCATAAACAACTGAAATTAGGAACAAAAACCTGAATTCCAATCATTTTAAATCCTCTAGAAATACATTGTTTGTAACGCAACAGGGGTAGGCGTGGGAAGGGGATTCAGAAAGCAAATGTGGAAGAGCAAACTCAAAGGGATTTTGGTAGGGGATAAATAGATACATGCAAGTGACTCAGGCCTGCTTTAACACAAGACAGCGATAACCTTTGTTCAAATTTTGGGTCTACGTTGTGCAGGCTAATTTGGGGGAGTGGGGGCATTTGGTGAGGGTTCGCAGAAATGGAAGCAGTGCCTAGGAAAGGGTCGGATAAGCCGTGAAAGTACAAAAGTGTAAATTGGGACTGCTAGATTAGCTGGTAAGGTGTTCATCAAGTGTATCTACCGATGTTTCGTTTTTTCGCCCTCCGGGACCTCTCACCTGCACTGCCGTAGTCTGCAAGAGAAAAGAGGCGGGGCACAGGTTGATTGACAGGCGGTTGGTCAGTCAGTCAGGCAGGCCAAAAGCACAGACATGTACGCACGGTCGGAAAGGACGGGGCACCCCACCTCGCCAAACAGAGGTGGTTTTTCAGAGATAGAAGGGCGTATGGCAAAGGGCGAGGGTGTTGAGGGTGTAAGTGCTATATTCATTTTTTAGAGATTTTTAAGATTGACTGTCAAAAATAACTTGTTTTAAATATTTTCCTCATATTTGGTTTGATTCAAGCACGCCTTCACTGTGGAACTGGCTTGAAAATATATTAATATAATCTCTTCTACATTTTTACATATTTTATTGTTATGTGTTTAATGAAAACTAAAAACAAACTTAAACTTCAATGTTGCACAATGGAGTGGTGGAAATACTAATCAGCTATTGAAATAAAAGCAATTAAAGTGTCATGGCTACGATTTAATGTTTAGTTGTACTTCCTGTTTCCTGTTTACCTGCCCCGCCCTCATGTGTATCACCTGTGCCTCGTGTGTTCCTGCACTCCCTGTTCCGTTATTGTCATTCCATGTCTGTTTTAGTTCTCGTCGTCAGTCTTTCCCTGGTTACGTTTTGTGTTTACTCTGGATTTTGGTTTTGTTTAACAGGAGTACAACCCATTTTTGAATTGTTATTTTAATTTGAAAATGATTTGTGGTACAAGCAGCTCTACAGCTTTGTTGTTGTTGTCATTTCAATGCAAACACAGTTGTGTATTTATATTAGAAGTGCAATGCAAATTTTTTACTGTCACAATGTCAGATACACCTTTTGTTATTTGACATTTGTAGACAGATATTTTCAGATCATTTTTCCCTTGCACATATCAAAGAGTCATTTTAAGGAATCTCAAATTGTTAAACTCCTTTATTGGAATGTTTTAAGATTAAGAAATCCTTTATTGTCCCACAGTGGGGAAATTACTACTATACTATGTACTACATTGACAATTGTTTTTATTTTATTTGTATTAATCTTTTTTTTTTTTTTACTGTTTATTTGACTATATAGATAATTGTTTATATCTTATTTTTATTTATATTATTTTAGATTTTTTTTTTTTTAAGCTGGCAGACTTGTACGTTTTAGTACGTTTGTGGGCAGTTGTCTCTCACTCCACACAGAGATAGGAGCAGGGTCGCAGTACGGGAGGCGCATGCCACTACATGTTTTTAGTGGTAGGGGAAACCGGAGTACCCGGAGGAAACCTACGCAGACACAGGGAGAATATGCGAATTCCACTCAGAAAGGCCCTGTTCCGACTGGGATTCGAACCCAGGACCTTCTTGCTGAGAAGCGAGAGTGCTATCCACTCAGCAACCGTGCCGCCCAATTGTATATTTTCGTATGTCACCTTTATCTGTGCAGCACTTTGGAAACGTCTTTTATCAAATGTGCTAAATAAATAATGTGGATTGGATTAGACTGGATTAATGTTTGTTTTATAAAAAGTAACATTTGATATTGAATAGCACTTGCACCCCTTCTCTTCCCACCCCTCGTCACACGCATGTAATTTGACAAGGTGCACTGTGCGCTTTCTGAAAATCAAAACACACTCATCGCTTCAGTAACTTGCCAATTGATGCTGTATCATTTCAGGCAAAACTGAATTGTCACGTACAATGTGTCTCACTGCTCGGCGACTGGGAGCCAGCAGGGCCAGAATGAGCGATGGCAAAAAAGCTCCAGATTGGCAAGTACAGAATGGATGAGTGAATCAGGAGGGATGGAGGAAAAGAACTGAGTTTGGATGGAAGCAGGAGGAGGAGGAGGAGGAGAGGGGACAGAGGACACATGTGGACAAAGGGGTGGACACGTATATCACAGAAATAGGTTGACGAATAGATAGACAGGCGCTGGGATGCTGAGTGTTGGGTGTGAGACAGCTGTATTGCAATTCAGCTTTGTCATCCACACAGGGACTATGTTGACAGTTGGTAAAAAATAATATATACATGATAAAAATACTTATACTACTCACATAATGGTGGTACGGGTACAGTACAGGTCATAAAACAGCTGGTCACACTTTATTTGACTGTGACTATGTAAGCACATGTAATAGGATGTAATCAGGTGTTAGTGAGGGCGAGGGCAGATTACATGTATCACGTGTTGTACTTCAAGTGCAGTTGGCAGGATACACTACATTATTAACACATAGTACAGGTACCATGTAGGTTTAACCCTCGTGCGATCCTCGGGGCAAATTGAACCGGAACAGTCATTGAAAATACAATACATTGTGATTTTTTTAAATGACTTTTCCTAACTTGACCAGCCTTGGATCATTTAGACCCTTTAAGACCCTAATTTAGGGTTTTCTCCTCTACATTTAATCACTGTGGCAGGTCATTTTAACCCAAGGACAAAACAAGGGATAAGTCATTAAGATTCAATATTAATATGGTTCATTTAATGATAAACATTAGTCAATTATTTGTTAACATTTATGTGATAGAAAAGAAATGGACAACATCGGCTTTGAAAATTATGGTACATAAAAAAATTGTAAAATAAGATTGATGGGAAGTTAATTAAAGGTCATAATAACTGACAAATTAACATTTGCCTTGCCTACTTTTCCGTGCACGCGCCAGGTCATGGGCCAAGACGTGCGGAGGAGATTATTCATTTAAATATTTAATCATGATTTATTTATTTTACAGCTCATCACAGCAGCAGTAGAATGCTCCATTGATTTGAATGTCATTTCAAAACGCTCTACCGATCATTATTTCTTGATAACGGACCTCTCAAACCAATAATGACCGCTGCCCTTTGGCAACGCACTCTGTGCTTGAAATTCAGGTATGTAGTTAATACACTTCGTCACAACAGGCTTTCAACGCCGGTCACTTATTACTTCTGTCTGTGCGAGAGAAGCAATCGGAGCTAGCCACGCCCAATAACACAAATATCAATCAATCAACACATTTAAATGTTAATCGGGGAATACATTATACATATACATTCTTAACACACGTGCACAGAGGTTTTACTGTTTTAATGCACCTAAAAGCGATCGCGGTAAACCCGGAAGTAACTATATATATATATATATATATATATATATATATATATATATATATATATATAATATTCAAGTTATATACGAGCACGAGCATGTTGATTGACAGCCCTTGCCATCACTTGATTGGTTAAAGTGGATGGCATCGTGGATTCTGAGCTATAGCTAAGAGAAGGGAAGGCGGGACTTACCCGTAATATTATAATTCATAAAATGACTTATTTTGTATCAACATTTAAGGCCAGGTGGTCAATTTACTAAAGTTTTTAACATTTGTAATTCCTTTAGAGTTCCAGACTATCACTTTAAGTGTGTAAAGATTTAAGAGATATGTTTAAAACTTTAATTTCAGGTCATGATTGTGAATGAGCATTAGTAACAAGAACCATATTTTACCTGGTTAAATAAATGTGAAATACAGTACACACTCATTCAAAAAACATTTCTCAATTGTGTGTGCATGATTAGATAATGTAGTTATTGTTTGGTCATTAAAAAAGTATAATTGTTTCTTTATTGGGCTCTGGTTGCAGAGGTAGGTGTCTACTTTAGCTTAATTATAACACCAAGCAAAGAAACCTGCCATCTTCACTTAATGGAAGTAGGTACAAAGGACAAATTGAATATAAAGAATGGTTCTCAAACAAAAGTGCGCGCAACAAAGTATAACTTTTTGTTGGACTTTGGTTTGATCCCTGTTTGGACAGAGAAAGTTAAACATGGACCAGACTTAATCCATGTTTAGTGAAGTTCTAAACATTATTAAAGTTGGTTCTAGTGTTTGGTTCTGGTGTTAGACCCTGTTTACATTAGCTTTGTTTTGCTTCCTCAAACATAGAAAACAGAGTTTGTTGTTGATGTTTAGGCAACGCAACACAATGAGATCAAGCAGAAAATCCACTATAGCTGAAGCTGAATACAAAACTCACTGACCACAACAACTGAAACTATAACAAATAAAATTCAATCTTACTAGTTCTTGCTTTCAAAACAGTTGGTTCATCACTACTTTTCACACGCATGTATTTTTGGCCTTTGTCACATCTTTAGATCAGCAAAGTGAAGGAGAGAGCACCACCATCAGCCATTCTGCTCTCAATCCAACTGTCATATAGTGAGACATACAAAATATTATAAGTATTATAATTATAATCATTATAATCATTATCTAGTATTAACTGATAATGTTGGGGGTAATCTTTGGTAAATTAGGCTTAGAATTAAACAAAAAAACATCCGTGCAAACTGTTTAGTAGATGCCGATCTTATGCTGGCATCTTAAACATTTAGTAAGCACTGCAATGACTTAAATACACCAGAAAACACATACAGAACTCTCCACAGTGGACTTCACAGCAGCTGTGTGTGCGTTTACCATCGGTGTAGCTGCAGGACGGTACCACACACTTACTGTCAGTGATGGGCTCCATGCAGAAGCCCAAAAGAGCGTGGAGGAAGTCCACAATGTTGTTCAGAGAATCCTTGTTGACATACTCGCGCATGGTTTGGCGGAACTGCTGCTTATCCAGTTTGTAAAGGCTGGTCAGACAGTTCTGCGCCTGCAACGAGTCAAATACATACATTCAACAATATGATGCATTCTTGGCGTTCCATTTGGTTAAAAAACATGATCTAGGAAATATTCATTTAGTGTATACTTTAACCAAGTTAATCTTGAAGATGTGTGGTGCTATGTGTACTGGGTGCAGCTTTGACTGCCACCCCCCATCCAAGAAATGGATAAAGGGGAAGAAAATGGATGGATGGATGGAATCTTGAAGATTCAAGATCAATTTATAATGTCCTGTAGGAAATGTGTCTTGGAATCACAGGCTGCTACATTAAAAATACACATAAGACAGACATAAAATGCAAACACAGTAACACAGGCCTAAACCATCACCGCTCTGCTCCATGACCTTCACAGATATGGGTAGGAAAAGTATTTTTACAACATGCAGAAAAGTTATTTTAACACTATTTAGTTCCGCTTCAGTGTCTCCTCACACATGTCCAGTGTCTACATCAGGGGTGTCATTCATGCGGCCCGCCAAGAGATTTGACACGGCCCGCGGCTCATTTATGTAAAATGATAATAATAATAGTAATGTTTATTTATATTTATATACCGCCTTTCACAGACAAGGGTCACAAAGCGGTTTACAATTGTTATTATTTTTTTTGAAAATAAATAATAATATAATATATTATAATAATAATTTAAAATATATATTTTTAAATCCGATCTGCAGCGCAAGGAGCTCAGCTGCGAGTTTAGTGCATCTGCTGTGGCTCCCACCAGAGCGTGTTCTGTGACTGACACCCTCAGGAAAATGTCATCGAGTGTCGGGTTTTTCAAAAAACATTTTACTAATTCTTATTTGTTCGCAGAGATGAATGAAATACCGGTGCTTTATGTGTATGCAATAAGTGGCTGAAGGAATATCATCTTAAACTACGAGACTCGGCAAAACATAGAGCAATTTGAGCGGAGAATTGAGAAGGCAGAGGATAAACGTGTCTGGCCCTGAAGAAACAGCAGTGTGCCCAGAGCGAGAGGTTAAGGATGCTACTGTAAAGGGAGCTACCTGAGAGCTAACAACATAGCATTAGCATCGCAGCCGCACAGAGAGAGAGAGTTTGTCCAAACTCTCATACAGGCTGAAGACTGTATCATCAAACTGAGGTTGTGTGGCTTTTTCTGTTGCCGTTGATAAGAGACTGATGTTACTGAAAATTTGAATATCACAGAGGAGATTTTAGCGTTAGTGCCTGTGTTCAGCTGAGGACACTATCGGCGCTGTTGCTGCTGTTGCTGTTGCTGCTGTTGCTGCTGCTGCTGTTGCTGCTGGTGCTGCTGGTGCGTTGGACAGAATAGGTGTGGACTGGTCCTGTGCTCTCAGCCTGGTACCGATGGTAAAGCAGGTGTTGTGACAAAGCCGCAAATGGAGGTGATGATTTTTGGACATTTCTCTGTATTTTACACAGAGACACTGTGCTGCAGTCTTTAAGAAAGGATCACGTTATGGAAGTTGTTTTGTTGATTTCAACTGAATCATGGTCAGTTTGATGCTTTCTCTCTGATAATAACATAACCATGGACCTTACCACACTGACGGTGTGGTAAGAGACTACAGTGCATCGTGCGCTCTGCAGAGAAGGTGATTGACTGCAGTCCTCCCATCGCTGCAGGACCTGTACGGCCAGGCTGGTCGTATTAAAGCCGACCCCTCCCACCCTGCACATGGTCTGTTCCAACCTTTCCCCTCGGCTACGGTCCATCAGGACCAAAACCTCCCACCATAAGAACAGTTTCTTCCCCTCTGCTGTTGGAATCTTGAACACTCATAAACTTTGTACTGTTTTTGGGTATTCTTATAGAGAATCTTCTGGTCCAGTCCAGTTGAGACCCAATTAGGTTGTATTTGGCCCCCAGAACAAAATTACTTTGACATCCCTGGTCTACATGCTAGAAAACAACAAAAACAACTTATGAGAAAGCGTTTAGAAGGAGAGGCCAGGAGTGCTCAGGGGCTCAAATGTCGTTAGAGGCCAGTGCTCTTCTGAGGGGGCAAGCAAAATGTCTTGGAGAATTCAAAGAGTTTTAATTGATCCGTCAACATGTTTCAAAGGGCTGTTTTCATCAGGGCTTGTAAGAAATGCCCAGGTGCAGGACCACCTATTTACAGTGGAAGTCAGGTGACCCAAAAGACATATGACAAACATGAAACAAATAAAAATAAAATAAAATAAATACTAGTCAGTACAATATACAAAATAGTACACACTCCTGGTGTATACTATTTGCTGATTTTGGACCCCTTACAGCAGTATAGTTTTCAAAAGAAAAACAGTGTTTTTGATGCAAAATAATATGTTTTATGGCACACACAAGTGTTGCCTGAATATTTAAAAAAGTACTCCAGTATTTCAAAAACAGAAAAAAAAAATTACATATTGAAAGTAGAGCCCATGACAAACTAAGCCAGAAAGAATGGTCAGTATTCATTCATTAGAGGGCGCTATATTTATATCAATAACAGTGAGACACAGAATAACAAAATGACAATGACAAACAATATAAATGAGTATAAAAAGTGAACAGACTTTATATCTATAATATAAGTGCAGGATACAGTTGTGTGTGTTTGTGAAATATGATTTATTTTCATTTACGTCAATGAGCAATAAACAATTCAGTTTGGTTTTGTACCTGCATACGGAGGCGGTCCCCCGACAGCCCACGATGGCCCTCCCCACATCCGTACGCACAGCCCAGGGACTTGACGATCTTGATGAGCATGGTGAGGGCCAGGCGGTGTGTGCTGAGGCCGGCTGCCTCCTCCTGCATTCACATAATCACTGATACATGAGTATCATATATATTAGGCCTGTACGATATATCGCAAAAATAATATTGGTGCGTGCAATATCCATATCGAAAATATCTGCGATAAAAAATTAATACTTTTTTTTCCCTTTATAGAGCACAAAACAGACAGACACATCAACATTCAACAAGAACAAACATACAAAAAAGTATATAAATGCATTTGAATGTCATTAATGTTGTGCTTATATTTTGTTATTTGTCTTATTAAATAAATCATCTTATTGCAATTTTAGATGAAAGACAAAAATATCGCAATCATATCGTTATCGAAATACTAAATACACAAAACCAAACCAAAACAAGAACCACTACACTGCACTTCAAAGCGTTTAAATACATTTTTATTGTACACAAGGCTTTTCCCTTTGCTCTTAAATGCATCCCATTGTCTTGTCTTGGTTCCATCAAGTTTTGCCAAACAGACCATTTTTTCAACCCTCTATCACTGCACGTAATTACATGCATCTCCATCATTAGGCTTAGATTAAACCTTTGCTGTTCGTGGTTCCAAAAGTGGACATATACTGTACCGACACATACTGTAAATACTGTATCAGGGCTATCCTTCACCATTGTTTATCATCAATGTTACAAAGTAAGGTATTTGGTAAGCTAAGAACATTTGTTTGTTTGTCTGAGGGGCACTATTTGCCCCAAGCCAATAGTTTGGTCCCCCAAGAACTGGTCTGTGAGCTTTTGTATCTTAAGCTTATTTTGAACCACGACTGGAGAATATTTAGGTAATTGTCGGGAGCCTTCACAGGATTTTGGATTTTCCACTGATGGCTAAAGGACTGACTTTACTAAACATAGATGAAGTTTGAAAATCCGTAATTCAATTTCTTTGAGATCATTGTGTAAAAGTTTCAAATCAATACATAAATGCTTTGAGAACTATGAATAAATAGCTGCATTTAATGAGAGCACCTTTTTGTCAGTGTCCTTGTTGTTCTTGATGTCGTCCTTGCTGCCCTGTCCACTTCCTCCTCCACTGCCCCCTCCGCCCCCGTCCCCTCCGCCTCCTCCTGGACACGTCCCTCCTCCTGCGCTGCTGCTGCCGCTCATGCTGTGGGCCACTGAGTCTTTGGGCCGAGCCTCCTGGTTCTCCTTGTCCTGCTTGGACAGTCTCTTGCCCATGTCAGGGACCAGGCCCAGCTGCAGCAGGCAGTCGATGATGTTCAGAGCCACGTCACAGATCCTGGAGCTGATGTCCCGGCTCAGCACGGCGTAGAGAGCGCGGAGCACAGCCTGCACGGAAAACACAACAAATCATCTGCTTTTCTTATCGTCTCCAGGACAGGAATCATGTCAATATGTTACAATGTTGTTCTCATCAAATACAACTCTACAGCTTTTGTTTTGCAGGGGCTGGAGGTGGTTCTGCAGCAAATGGAATTTCTCAAATTTCCACATAAAATCAAAAGTGATCAGATCTTTTTCAACTGTTTAACAATATAATTCAAACTTATTGTTTTAAATATTTATTTATTTATTGTTTTGTATTAATTATGAATAAATAATTTGAAAGTTGGGGTACTTGACTTGACCAACAGAAATAATCGTCTAAAGGAATTAATCTTTTTAGAAAACATGTTATTGTTTGAAAGAAGTAGCCCTCTTTTCTTGTCTTGAACAGAATTAAGTGAAAATGAGAGAACCAAACGGTTTTAGAGCCAAGTGACATGGATTTGATGACATAGTTCAGTAACAATACAGATAAGCTAACTGCGTGTGCACTCACAGTGAGGTCCAGCATGCCGTTCTTCTGTACGAAGTGGCTGGTGCCCTCCATGCTCTCTGCCTCCTCCAGGCACGAGTAGTTGATGCAGGAGTCGGTGAAGCTGCGGGGCAGGTTGGCACAGGCCAGGGGCTCCGTGGGCATCTCGGCCACATTGGGGGTGCACAGCTTCTTCATGTGCTCCGTGAAGAAGTCTGCGTAGCCCACGTTGAAGGAAGCCACCGTTGTGTTGAAGGCAGCCATGGTGATTGTGGAGATTTGGGAGCGCACTGTCACAGAGAAAAGGAGCCAGGCTGATTTACAGGGACGCACTGGTCACATGACGCAAAATATCTCAATTCCTGACTAGAACCAGGACAACTATATTAGTCCTGGTCTCAGGTCTCTGCACTGGTTTTTTGTGGCTCAGAGAACAGACTTTAAAGTAGCTGGTGCTTGTTACGAGTCTCTCCATGGCATCGCTCCTAAGTACATCTGTGACATGTTAGTGCCATATGAACCAACTAAGACTCTGAGGAGCACAGGGGCTGGGCTCCTGGTGGTGCCTCAAGTCCGAACTAAAAATGGGATCAGGTTCAGAACGATGCAGTCTATGATTGTGACAAGTCATATCACAACCGTATATTAGTAGTGGAATGACAGATTGGTCACTCTTTATAGGACTCATTTAAATATGCAGGAGCAAAACTTTGTACATGAGCACTTCCCTATTGGGCTTCATTAAGTTAGCATTGACCATTTATATTCAGTCACAATGTTATTTTTATTGCATTGGACAATATCCCCAAAAGGGATATTGTCTTTAAACATATTCAAAGTCTTGTCTTTAGAGACAATTGACTATAAAGACGTATTGAGTCAAAGTGCACAGCAACAATAGGCTAACCCTTAGACAGTCACAGCTTCAGTGGCGTCCAGGCCCCATAGAGGAGGACATCTGGGTTTGAAGAGGTGAACTGTTACACACATATCCACCGATATGGATCAATAACACAGAAACAATACAGATGATGTTTATAATTTTAATATTTGACCCCTATGGTTAATTGTGCTGGTTTCCTACCTGCAGGGTTGCCCTCTCGCACCGTGTTGTCGCTGTTGCTGTTGGGGTGTTCGGGGGTCTCTCTCATGAGGGAGTGGTGTGAGTGGGAGTGTTTGGCACTGAGGCTGTCTGCGTCTGCTGCCGTGTCCGTGCTGCCCCTCCGAGTGAACTTACCTACACAACCACACACATGCCACACATATAACACACCAACAGCCCTATAAATGTCTGTCCACACACTACTCAGTCTGCAGTGAAGAGGGTACCGCCTGGGCTATGTCATTGTGATGATTTATTTGTCTGTTGTATTGAATATACAACAGACAACTATAAGCAATATAAGCCTCTTCTAAGGCTTTAGCTAAGTGAGGAGCTGCTACAGTAAGGCAGAGGGTTAGCTTAATGCTTAATGTCAGCTCCAACAGATGAGTGTTTAGCTGAGTTCACCATGAGTTCCCTAGTGCTGTAGTGACTGCGGATCACTCACAGAGTACACTTGGGAAAGAGCAAGGGACAGTTAGCAGCAGTTGACATCAGAGCAGCTCAAAGCTCCGGCATGTCCAAACTAAGGCCTGGGGGCCAATTGCAGCCCAATGTGTCATTTTATATGGCCGTCTCCCTCACTAACCCAAAAGTAATCTGTAACTCATTGTCTGCCATTGACGTTTTAAAACAATCAAATGAGTTTTTCACTATTTTCATGTTCCGAGACGTCTATTATATCAAATATGTATGGGGATTAGCTTTAGAGCATTTTTTAATCGAGCCAGCAGGTGGCACTCTGTATGTTTTGAAAACAGATGCACTTATTGCGCCTCTTTTTCTCAGCTTTTTTTCTGAGACTGGTGATTTCAGTAAAACTTCCCTCTACTCCACTGGGGATTACAGGGGAACGAAACAAGCTTGGAACAGAATTCTTATTTCTGGTGGATTTCAGATAGTCATAGTACACAATATCCTGTGGGTCTTGAAAAATCAATGAAAATCATCAGAAACTGCAGGCAATATGGGAGTACCCGTTCTGAAATAGGCTGGCAGGCAATGAGTTAATATCATGAGGACAAGTTCACAGTGTAATGTTGTACCTGGTTGGATTCTCTTTGCTTGACTAAAAAAACATTTATTTTTGATTGTTAGGAACTAACCTTTTAACTCACCTTTACTCTTGTGATTAAACCTTTGTCATTCAGACAGCGCCAGCTCTGAACCAATATAGACATTCACACTTAAATCTTAAAGCTCAGAACAGCCTAATGCTTAGTGAATACACTTCAGCCTAAACCATTTCAATCAGTTCATGTTTTTTACAACAAAAACAAGGAAGTTTATGAATTATGTTAATGCTATTGACTGAAAATAAAATTACTACTAAAATGGTGTAAAATGGAAAGAATGTTGTCGGATCAGACAATAGATCTGATGAATGGATGTATAGATGGGAAATACAGTAACTGTCATGTAGAGATGCTCTCACCCATGATGGTAGCTTGCCACCCTCCGCGTTCCAGTGTTCGACGGTCGTCCCCCAGGCCAGAGAAGCTCCCGAAGGAGAAGGTGCTGCGTGTGGGGGACACGTCCAGGTGGTCCTCGTGCATGAGGAATGGAACCCCCATCCTCCTCTGCCGTTTCTTCCCTGTGTGGTGGAACGGGATGGAGCCTTTCCTCTCACGCTCCTCCCTCCCACGGTTCTTAAACTGTGCAGTGGATAAGCAAATGCAGAAAACTGTGGTTAAACGGTTTAAGTAAATTGTACAAATATTTGTTCCATTACAGCTGCGGCTCCAAACCACAGCAATGAAACTAAAATAAAGATCCTTGTTCTTAATACATGCTCTGACTCTGTCACACCAATACAAAAGTGAGAACCACCCTCACTTGGCCAGTCGGCTCTGACAAAGAGCCTTTCTATTGGGACCAACAGCATGGAATATTTATGAAACAAAATGTTAGGTAGCCCAGCTTTAAAGCCAGTGACTGTATAGACAGTGAGAGTGAAACATGAGACTTTACCCATTGTGGTACAAATACACCATACTGTCACCATACAGAGACAGTAAACACGGGTCACCTTCTTGAAGAGGTTCATGCCCAGGTCAGAGGACAGGTCAGGTACAGCTTGGCGCCGCAGGTTGGTCAGAGACACTTTGGCAAAGGTCTCGGTACTCAGAGATTTCCCCTCTTCATCGCATTTCAAACTCATGTCCTACAAAATACAAAGCAAACGTGTAAGGAGTGGCATGATAAATCCAAAGCAAGTAACACCGCTTTAAGTGGATTACAATATATTTACACAGTTATATGAAAAACGTGAATTCATCTTTATTCAGACAATATGAGGCAGAATACAACAAAAATAAAAAAGTACATGTAAAACTCGCAATACACAGCAAAAATATGAGTTTTAAAATGTTAGGGATGGTGTTGGTATTATTTAAACAGCAAATACTTGTGAATTACCACTGCTAGTGTTGCCCGTGACAACCTTGTGTTGTCAAATCCGATTAAGCTTTTTTACACAGCCAATGGTGTTGATAAAGATCAAAGCCACGCCCCTTACCCAGGTGGCTTAGATCTTGTGCTCTCTCACTCTGCTCTCTCTCACTCTGCTCTCTGTGTGTTTAGTCCCCTCCTTTCTACAGTGTGTTTTGTGTGTCTGACCTGTGTCTTGTGGGTGTTGACCAGCGAGGGCGTGGCTGCTACCATGGAGCTGCTGCGTGGGCGGGGCAGGGGAGTTGCCAGGGACTCTGGGACGCGCTCTGGCCGCTCCTCCAGGATGTTCCTGAGCCTCTGGAGGTAGTAGAGCAGGGCCCAGTGCACCCCCTCCTCCGTCCAGTGCGGCTGAAGCAGGCAGCGCAGCACGGCTACATCGAAGTATGTGGCGTAGCGCGCTCTCTGGGACAGGGAGGTGGGCAGCCCCCCGGGAGCTGATGTCCTGTGGAAACATGGGGTTCATATTATATCAGGAACTGTGTGCGTGGCTTTTGGTCTACTCTCTACAAAGGATCTAGGAGCATCTTTGGACTTTATATTTTACAACTTGACCTTTTGTTGAAGGAAGTAACGCAGGTGCACTCCAGGATAACATGATGAAAAGCATGGCATGATTTTTTGTATATACTTTTTTCAATCTGGAGAAAGTACAAGAGACGAGATGCGTTTTAAGGATTTATTGATTGAGTTTTGTTTGTAGGCTGTGGCCTTGTGCTTGAGTACAGATCATGATCCCCTGGGCCCTAGACACTGGTGTTGACAACAGGGCAAGGTGGATGCGAGCGTGCAAAGAAATCCTGAGGCGGATTTCTTTCTTCCTAATTGTTTAAATTAGTATTAGAGTCAGAGTACATGCAGTATAGTACAGTATTTATTTTACATTGATGTTACATCAATGATTGTTACAAAAATATTAGTTTCTGGAAAATATTTGATGGGAAAAAAGTGAGTATAGTATGCAGCCGTTTGAAATGAAAAGTAGCTCTACAGTAATAGCACAGTTTTGGGTTGCCCTCAAAATAGACCATAACCAAACTTGCTCTTTTTTTTTTTTAACAGAGATTTGGCTCATCTGTCCCCAGCAGCAGCAGCTCCTTCATGACCTTGATGGAGCCCATCTCCAGTGCACTCACGCAGGCTGGCTCCTGGAGCCGGAGGGGGGATGTGGCCTTATTTACTGCCCTCCTGAGATCCATAATAAATGAGGCAACCTGCGAGAGGTGTCAGGGCTGGTACGGGACTTCTCTGCGGTGGTTAACACAACCCTCTCAAATCAACAGCATCCTCTTGTTACCCTAGAACGGCTTCATTTGACTGAGAAAAATACAGCTGATTAATATGTAACAAAAATACAGATACGGCCTAATTATTCTATCTCATACACCAGCTATATATAACTTGTACGATTTTGGGTAATGGTTAAGGGCCAATATCAAGATACATGTCTGGAGCGGTCAGTATGCAGTATTTCTGCTGTGTCACTGCTGCTGTTTGTGTCTGGTCGCTATGGAGACGGAATGACGACAACTACCCGCCCCCCCTGTGGAGTAGGAGGTGCGCAGCAGGTTACCGTGACAACCGCTTCCATAATCAGCTCTGACTGCCATAAAAATGAGTCTTAAAACACTCCACAGCACTAGTCTCATACAGCATGTAGTAAATCATGCAAATATTGTCTTTGGGGTCGTTTGTACTACTTTATACAGTGTCTGTTAAATGACAAATCATGTACAATTCTAATTTATTTATTTATTTTTTGTGGATGGCCCCTTGAGATGAACCATCTCTTTTTCGAGGGGGTCAGGTTATAAAACAAAAGTTACATACATGACCAAAAAGACAGACAAGACAATAAGCACATACAGTACATAAAGACAGAAAGAAAAAATAATAATAACAATAATAAAATAAAATAACAAAAAATACAAATAAAAAAATAATAATAAAAAAAATAGATGTTGCTCTTCCCCACCATGCCCATCTCAAAACCTTGTCCACATCCGCTCCTTCAGTAACTTTGGGTACAGTTATTACTTTTATTTATTTATGCCTTATCTTTGAACGCTACTTAAAGCAATCACATGGCGACTTCAGGTGTGTAACTAAAGCAGTTTTAACACTGGTAAGTGAGGAAGTTTTTATCGAAGCTGGGAGATTGTTCCAGTCCTCAGGGGCTCTGTAGCAGAAAGCGTGTCTCCCAATCTCTTTATGTATTCTGGGAGTAATGAGAGTGACATGCTGTAGATGTCTCAGTGCATATGAAGAGGTAGTTCTCACCAGATGTTTTTGGAGATAGGAGGGGCATTGACTAGAACCATTGACACATTTATAGATAAAAATGTACCAATGGTAAAGTCTCCTTTCCTTTGCCTGCAGCCAGTTCAGTTGGTCATAAAGAGTACAGTGGTGTGTCGTGAAAGGATATCTTAGAACAAATCTACAGACTGCATTATAAAGTAAATCCAGAGGTTTTAGGGTGGTTATGTTAGAGCTGTGGAAAACAATGTCAGAGTAGTCCATTATTGGCAATAGTAGTTGTTGAGCGATACCTTTTTTTGGTTTCAAATGTAAAACATTCTATTGAGCGATATAATTCGGGCGTTCTGCTCTCCCAAAATTTCATCCACTGAGCGGCGCTGTGATCAAAAAATGACACCGTTTGTTGCCCAGTTCACTTCCGGTTGATTTCATACAATGGCGAATATGGCTCACGAAAACATTTCACGATTGACAGTGCCTGAATTGCGTGAAAGGTTGAAGCGAAAGGGTATTTGCAGTGTGGGAAAACGAAAGGAGGAATTGTTGTTGCTAGTTCAACGAGCGGATGGTGTTTATGAAGATTTAGAAGAAGATGACAGCGAGCAGAGTGAACGAAAACGGCTGTGTGTGCGAGTGACAGATGGTAACAATGAGAATGAAGTTCAGCTAAGAGGGAAGAATGTGAATTGGACGGATGATTTGCGCGATATGCCACTAGTTAGAGACGGGAATGTATTTGCATAATGTAAAATGACGAAAACACTCAACCATTTAGAGAAAATGCGCCGGGCAGAGAGAACCGGAAGTTGCGAAGGCAAGTGTTACCCATAATGCAACGCAAAATTCAGTCGCTCCCCCGCCCATCGGATGGAATTTTGGGAGAGCAGAACGCCCGAATTGACCCAAGCATTGCTTAATTTTTTTACCAATGTAATCAATGTGTGGCTTAAATGTCAGCTCAGGGTCAATGCACAAGCCCAAATACCTAAAAGTGTCTACATTTGTTAAAGCTCTATCAGGAGTTCGCTGAATATGGAGAGTAGTGGGGTGGGTTTTTTGATACCTTGTCTTGAACTGCATTGTGCACGATTTTTTCACGTTAAGAATGAGATTATGTTCTCTGAGTCATTTTTGAACACGATTAAACAATAGCTGCAAAATATTTTGTATGTGAGTTACGCTGTCTTGAGATGTATAAATGACATCAGCATAGAGATGAACGTTTGAGGAGGAGCACACTTTGGGCAATTCGTTAATATATAACGAGAAAAGGAGCGGACCCAGTGATGAGCCTTGGGGCACTCCTTTCTTCATGACTGTGCAACTTGATTGAGTGTTTTGTATTGCCACATATTGCTGTCTTCCATGTAGATATGAGTTAAACCATAATAGTGCATTTCTATCTAATCCCACTGAGTAAAGCTTATCTAATAATAAATAGTGGTCTACGGTGTCAAATGCTTTAGAGAAATCAATGAAAATGGCACCAGTAGGTTTCCCATGATCAAAAGCTGTAAAAACATCATTTGTAAATTTTAATTGTGCTGTAGTTGTCGAATGATTAGGCCTGAATCCAGATTGTGATGATGTTAGTATACCATTTTCTTCAATATATTTACTCAACTGATTAAAAATAATCTTCTCAAATATTTGCCTGTATTGTGGAAATGATAGAAATAGGTCTGTAGTTATTCAAATCATTTGGTTCTCCTCCTTTGAAAACTGGTGTTACTCTTGCTAGTTTCCATAGAGGAGGAAGTAAGTTTGTGGAAATTGATAGATTATATAATTCAGCCAGGGGGAACATCAAGATGTGAGATGCATATTTTATCAATTTAGATTCAATGCCCCTGTTAATACCCCTGTTTTGTCTGTTTAAGTCTCTCCTGATTGAAAAGTGTGATGTAAAACACTAAGAGATGCTTTTCAGTCAACTAGGAACATGTCTCCTTTAATGTTTCCATGCACTCCCCGAACTCTCCTCAGTCCTGCGACACACCACATTATACCACAACACAAACCGTCACCCTGCGAGCGCCATGTGTCAGAAGCGCGTAGCTCAGCCCGCTGGCATGTTAGCTTCAGTGCACACATAGCTGGGTGCTCCCGCGTGTAATGTGTGGCTCTTAGCGCTGCTGTCGCTGCCCATTCACACCAGCGCGTCCCACACGGGCACGCCTGACATTTGCCCACGCCGCCGCGCTAATTATGCAGAAGTAACGTGCTACATGTCTGATGCTGGCACTGCCCGAGCTGCACAGAGAAAGTGGGGATTAAAGGGGCCGGGCTAGTGTTGGGACATCATCCACAGCCTAGAATCATGAGTTGTACTCAGTGTTGGGGAGTAAAAGAATAAATGTTTTAAAAAAAGGAAGAAAAGAAGATATTGGTTATTCTTAAAGTGAAGATTCTATTTTTTCTGGTTGGCAGCGGTTATAACACTTTGACTTGTGTTACAAAAATAAACAACACGTCTGACTCTTTAATTGTGGATTGCTGTTCTAACTGTGATTGTCACTGACATTAATGCTTGGATTACGCTGCGCTGAAACAATTTAACAAGTCATGCCGCCTAAACAAGACCCGACACTGGTGGATTTTGAGGAAATCCAAGCCTCACTTAAAAAATATTTATTGAATTAAAAAAAGTCTTTGATACTATAAATCACTCAATATGGCTGGATAAATTACAAAAATATGGGATCAGGAGTGTCGCCGGAAACTGGCTACGTGATTATTTAACTGGTAGAGTACAGTTTGTTCAAATGGGGATCATGTGCCTGAAAATCTTGGCAGTGGTGTCCCCCAGGGCTCAGAGTTGGGTCCCATGCTATTCAAACTCCATATCCATGATATTTAAAGTATCGAAGTCATTAAAACTAGTTATTTTTGCGGACGACACAAACATTTTTATTGTAGTGCAGACTGCAAGCAACTTATTGATACTGTGAATGTTGAACTGACCCAAATCTAAAAAGAAATTTGGATTTAAACAAACTGAATCTAAATTGAAAAAAGACAATGATTTTTGGTTATGCAAAGAAACATACAGACTTTAAAATTAATATTGATTCAAAGTTGAAAATGTTGCTGAAAATAAATTCTTAGGTGAAATCATGGATGACTGTATTTGTTGAATACTTTGGATCCTCAATTAATGCAATGCCAAAATATTCAGATTTA